TATATATAAAACCCGTGCGATAATGACACTTCTAAATCACGCTTCTATTTTTTCCACGAGTTAACCGGCATGTTGGCTAGAGATCAAAGATTCGCGAAGAGCCCAGCTCACGCCGTCGCCACAGAAGGTCCGTTCCGCCAAGGTCTAATGATACAAGCCTGGGCGACTCCATTGGTGACGTGCGTAGTTATCAAATGGATCTCAAGGATGAGAACAAGGCCAAAGTGTTAACAAAGTACTGCGGGGGCGTTTATATTCAGCCAGTTGAATTACTCACAGTGTGTGTATGCAAGCGGACGCCTAAATCATACCGAATTCAGTCCTGATGTAGAGTCAAATACAAGTGAGACCTTACGGTAAACCACGTACCGCTTGTCTTTTTTAATGGGACCTCCGATTCTCTCGCGTTGCCTTTATTGATGATCTTCGCTCGTTGTTTCAAGAATAGACTGGATCACTTGCTGATTATATGCGAGTTATGGAAAAACTACATATCGCATATCGTAATAAAAATTATAAATAAACTGAAATTCAGCCTGTAAATACTTCGGTCAATAGTATAATACACAGCAACTAACGAGAGCTTTAAATGGTGCATTTAATATCTAATATTTATTATATGAAAAATACTTATTCAGACAGCAAGGAGTATGGGTGTTCAACTTTCTAAAAATGATCGAACAAACTTGACATCTGTTGGGTAACTGGTATCCTTCATTCCTATATGCAATGCCTAATATTAGTAAGAACTAAATATGCTTTGAAATAATTTGGAGCAATATTAATTAGTATCATGTTTTCAAGATTATACTTAAAATGACCTGTTACGGGCATTGCCTTATTGACTTTTACGGGATACTACACGATAAAGTAGAACAGAGCGCTTAGTAATAGCCTTTACTTGAGTCAAATTTTCGCATAAAGATCTTGTATCCTGCCGCTTGGTAGTTCCTCATCAATTGGGATCTATTCCTAATTAATAACATTGTATTGGCTTCAAATGATGAAACAATATCTTACGTCAGCCTGAGCTACGTGTCCGTGCTATCAATCCCGCTCGAGTGGTATGGTCTTATTAAACACCTGCCGCTCTATACGCTTCTAGATATCTTCTAAGTGGAAATTATTATTTCCACTTACCATTTAAGCAAAATTCATGTACTGATATTGACAACTCGATGATAGCAAAAAAAAAGAACCATAATCTTATTTTTGTAAACAATTGTGTTTTAGCCTACCTTACAATTCTTAGATACTTTCTGTACGCTGGGTTTATTTATTCTAGAAATCTGAACCGTAAAGATTTGAGTACGTTGATCCTAGCGGTATTTTCTTATCTATTATACAACATGGGTTGAAAGCGTTCTCTTTAGATTAGAGATCTATCTATCAAAAGTGTTAGTTTCTACATTTATAATTAGTGTCTTAGAATCTGTTTCTACCGTCTTTTATTAGCTACTAAACAAATAAAGTAGCCCAATTTAACCTACATGATTTATTATACGTAAAAATGTAAGTGATATTGGCTTTAGCATATGCAGAGGAAGCGCATTCTGCGGAATTCCTTCTATTAGAACTCGTATTGATGCTGTGCGATTGCAAGTGGTGTTTCTGCATTCAGTCTTCAACCCGAGCAAACGCAACATAAGCAATTGTCTCAATGTAAAGCCCAATGTGAGCCTTTACCAGTAACCGTAAATTGTCGGAATACGCGGTGAGCTTCGATGCCTCCACCATCGCCGATGTTCCACGGAGCCGATCCAAGAATTGATCCCTGCGGGATGCCCGTCTTGACGCAGAGGCAAGCTAAGGAGAAGAGAGAATTCCTTAGGGATAAAGTGAGATTTCTTCCGCTCCAGTGCGCCCACTATAATTGTCCTGCTCATCGTGCTGAAGGCGTTTTTAACCTCCAACAAAGTAAGTATATAAGTGAACTGCCTGGGGACAGGAGCACCGGACGCCGAGCGGGTTACTTAATGTAAAGAAAGTAAGAACAGAATTGGTCAAAGTGGGGCAAGTCTCAAGAATTGCTTCTAGTTAAGCGAAACCACTATTCTGTTTACCATTGGAACGGTTGTTGTCAGCTGTTTATTACCGTTGCTTTGCGTGTTCCTTATAAAAAAGTTTGAGCGCGCAACACAAATTTATTGAGCTGCAAGGCATTACTTCAGTCTTAAGCTCTCGTTTCGGCTCTATTGATAATCATAGTAATGCGCTAAGGCTCGCATTTGTCACAGATAAGAGTTCTACGTTAACTGAGCTTCCAACGTAAAATGACCAAACGAGTATGTAAAAACACTATATATAATCAAAATAAATTCAATAAATAAATAAACCAAATTCACCGAATCAACGACGTTTCAAATCAAGCTGGAGGCGTTTTCCAGATCTTTTTCAACGAATTGAATCAATGTTCGTTTTCTGTTGATTACAGTTTTATTTGGATTGTCTTTTTCCTGCTCTTTGAAAATTCTCATCGAGAATCAGTCGGCAAGTGCTTTCTACTTCGATAATATGCTTGTAAGACATCGCCATCATACCTATCTGAAGCATGAACCAAAATTCGTCAGAATTACATACTGGTCTGTTACAAACGAAGATTTTGCAATTTAACAACGTATGAACTAGTAGGGCTGGGGTAATAGTCTTCTAATATGTGTCAAAGGCAGTCTGTTTTATTTTTTACATACTTATCCCAGGGCTCTGGCAGCTTTTGGATAGCCGTATATCTACTATTTATGTTCGCATATGTAGTTTCCCTATCTACGGCTGCTCGAAATAAATTGCCCCTGATCTTCATTGAAAGTACTGCCATCACCTCACGTGCGAACCTACTCGACATTGCCACCAAACTCGCTTTCTACTCAGGATGAGGCTATTCTCTCGCCTAGTTTTTTTCTCCTGCTGACGGTGGCGACTGAACGATGGCAAACGTATACTTGTGGCGGGTTTTTTCTATTGACTGAAGCTTTTTACTGTCAATTTTTATTCCATATTATAAGTGGAATACACCGCACGCATGTTTCGTTATTCTAGAGTCAGATCAAGGGAGACCTTCTCTACCCAATTTCCCCATTTTCTGTATTTAAGTTATAGTTCCGTAACACGTTACATGAGAAGTGGCAATTTTAATGCAGGGAGCCCTTCAACTCCAAACCCTGCTTTCATGAAAAGCGTTCTCAGTCGCAGCAGTACGTTCTTGTCCTTTAGGTCTCGATATCTGGTTATTTCTTTCCCTACTTTTCTACTACTCCCTTACAGCTACTATCATTGAAACTTTTGCACCGTTCGCCCGCTAAAGGCTTCATCTCCTAATACTTTCACCAATCTTCTCCACAATTCTATGGCTTTCGAGAGACACAAACTTGACCGCTGACTAAAAAATGCTTTTCATTGTAAGCTCACTTCTCCTGAAGCAAACTCGACCGACTTTCACTTACAAGTTCACAGAAGATTGGAGTGTTCACCAGCTAGTAGATCATTCCGAATTTGCAACATGGTGGGCAATCAGATTGCGAAAACTTAATTTGCAGTCTAATAACTGGCATGCGAAACCTGTTGATTGAGAAATCGTTCTTTAAAAACAGATTCTTTAGCCTGTAATACAAAGAGAATCATGCGACATCAACTGTTACATTTGTGATTCCTCGTGACATCGGCTGAAGTTTATTAGAAGATCATAAGCGTAGAAATCGCTATACAAAGGACAATATTTAATTTTATCGCGTATCTAAACTGAACACATCCACGATGCGACCACTCAAGACTGTTTCCTGTGAACTTATCGTTGCTGAAACCTTGTAATCCTAACTTGGGGTAAACCATGATCATGGATTGGGCGAGATCTATTAGGAAGAACGAAGGTCATCTAATTAGCCAATACAATAATGAATTCAATTAACGATTTTTCGCAAGATTTTAGAAGGTCAAATGATGCGCACTCTGTAACCGCGAAACGAGGCTTTTATGGTGACATAAAGCAGGCGAAATTCGCTCGGCGACCCTGATGCTATCAAATACTTTGGTAAAGAATGAATGGCGGTGCAATTGCAGCAGACATCAATCTAGCGAAATTTTCTTCTTGTGCCATACAACTGAAAATATAAATGAAACTTGCGTACCAGCGAATAAGACCAACGCTACAAATTTGACAGTCTGCTTCTTTTGACAGTTATGTTCGTCTATACAATCGACTTATCCAAGCAACGCTAGCTTGGAGACCACTGGCCATACGAGGCCGATGGCACTAGAGGCCTTAGTGTCTTGAATAGAACGGGAAAAGCCTAACTTCAAACTAATATTGAAGAGTTAATTACGAGACAGCTTTTCGTTCGTTTACGACTCTTAGCTGTTCTTTTTACGACAGGCATCTTATTGCTTCAAGAACCTAGCAGCATAGGGGGCTCAATACAAACCATATCGTGTGCATGATAAAAATTGATCTTTCGGAACAACAACTGAGAATTCTGTCAGTATGTAAGTCGTAGTTGTTTGTGGCCAGTTAGGTAGCAGATGAAATTTTTATAATTCCTTAAACTTTAAAGTTATATCGCTCTCTTTAGCTCGCCGGTTAAGTAGTGGGTTCTAGGACACGATCAAGATATTTTCGGATTATTGAATACGTCTCAACAGGCAACATGTATGATATATCTGGGAACACCATGTCCGTCGGCGAGGTGCTAGACATTTCCATTCTCAATTGATAACTAAGGTACAAACTGAGCAAGAGAACTCCAGAGCTTAGACTGCAGTAACTTCTATATGTGGGGTCATCAAATTTGAGTTAACCAAAAGATTATCTGATAAACATCGGCAGCAGGAAGGGCGAGGAGGCCCTGGTGGCTCCAGCCCGGGCAATTTGCTCCTGTGCGTTAGTTACGACTGCTGCTGCTATATGCATGTACCATTAGCAGCCAATGCATTGAGCGCTCTCGGCAATCGCAGATCTTGCTCGCAGCTAAGTTGTACCACCTTTATTAATGACACATAATGGCTTTCGCGTCAAGCCTCGATAAAACTATATTCACAAAAGCAAAAGGACTGCTTCAAGTAGCCTAACGCTCGTCAGGCCAACGTACGGAAATGCGTTAAAGCGCTATGCACTATCGCATCGTTCCTCTCCGTTACGACTATAAATGATTAACGTGGCGCCGTGTGCAAAGTTTATGGCCGCGGCTTTACTCCGTATTTGCGCCAACTTAATGAGTAAGCAATAGTGATATTAACTTGCGCCTGCCATGACTGGCGCTCCTGTGATAACAGCGACCATGTTACTCCTTTAGTGATAACTTGTACTCTAAAATAAACCTCGAGAACAGTGGTTTTCGGACGTTAAACGTACGCATCCAATCACTTTTTGTTGACTGTAACGATAATTATCTTTTCTTCCGACCCTTCTTTCTTGTTCGGAAACCTGGGCGGGCCTGTCCTCTTCATTTTAAGGGTTCAGCTATGGTTAACTTAATGCTAGTCGATTAGCGTGGGCATCAGTTCATCGTCCGGAGCGGAAAACTCTGCGACAATCGGTAAAATGTCCCGCAAACGCTCGTAACATATCAATGGTATAATGGGGCCATTTGGACGTGAAACTCGACGAATTATTCCATTATCTATAAAGTAAACCTCGATATAAAAAATTTCCTCAAATTTCGATATTTGAGCTGCGTGCTGCTTAAACATTTAGTACGACTCGAGTTAGCGGATCTTTCCTGGCTGAAGTGAGAAAGCGAACAGAATCTCGTTTGGGACAATTAAGGAATTTTCATTCTACTACAGGTTTGTTAAACCGTACTAAAGCAGTTGCAGTTTTATCTGTTCCAGAGTTAGATTTTCCGAAACATACTGACAGCAAGTTAGACTCTACAAGGCCATGTCATCTGAACATCCTGGACGTAAAATTGGTCAGAACGATTTACGGTTATATGGGCCACTATCCTTCAGATATATATGATACGATTGCTAATTTGGTAGCGAAATTGAAAGAATTCATTTGCCTTCCGTTACAACTCAACCTAATGGGCATATGTTTATGCACGGATATATTAAGCTACGCTAAGACTGTCCTATTTTCGTGCACGTCATACCGTATCTTGTCAAATTTATCCTATATGATATAAAAGTAAATGGCACCTTCCGCAGTTATAACGCACCATCAAGGTTGGATACCCGTACAATAATTCCGGATCCTCACATATATGGATTATGAATTGCAATCAAATATTAAATAATTTTTCAAAATTTCTTTAAACCAGAATCATGGATCCTTCTGATTGCTGCGCAGACTTCAGTCCAATCAAGCTGCTATCATAGAATGGTGCCCATATCAATACAATTATCCTTCTTTAGCTACACTCCTTGAACAAAATACAGTATCTTATAGTACCATAGTCCAAACATATTCGGACTGCCCAGTAAAACCTAATATCGTATCGCAAACGAATCATGATCATTGGCTTTGCCAGCTTGGCACTGAATATTCATAATAAAACATCATCTCCTCTAACTATGGTTTTCCGATGCCATTTTCTTTCTAATTTTACTTCTATCTTTCTTACAGTGGGTCGTTACAAGCCCATAGGATCTAGTTCTTGGTCACCTGACCTCATCTCACAGAGACACGTGGGTCCAACTATGAAATATTTTTTTTCAGTACTCTTTTTTAAGTTTACGAATGATTATAAATTGTTTTACGCCGCAACTGGGGTCTTTGGCAAATACACAAATATATGTGTGCTTTCTTTCTTTTCGTGAAAATGATTGCGTTAACTACGTTTTAGTCCATATAGCAATACCATTTTTCGCTAGTCTATTACCTGAAACCTATACGTGAAATTAGGAAAAACCCCAGCTTGTCTCTAACGAAAAAAAAAGAAAAACTGTGCTTCTCCGTTATTTTTGTCCTTGCAACAGATTATTATGTGTGGCTCCGATCGCGAAAGAGGCCGTGCCTTACTGTTAGCTGAACTTCCTGGATATGCTCTATGTGCAGGTTATGCAGTTCTTCGTTCAGGCTATCATTTCAATCTGCGTCAGGGTTTTCTGAATATTATACACTGTTTTTAATTGTTAGATAGATTCTGTTCACGTTAGATAAGAGTACAAACGTTGAAAAAGGAACGCCTAGGTTTCAGAGCTCATGATTCCTTTAATACTACGTTACCAGCATATGATAGGATATAATGTTCCTGTGTTGAATATGATGCAGTTAACCATCATTTTACCAGCTTAACCAACTAGCCGAAAATTCATTATTGGACTTATTGAATATGTCAGATCTGTGTTCGCGCACCTCTTTGGCCGAGTGTTTTCGTGCTGTTTCGATTAGGGTACTAACAGGTTGGCGGACCAGGCACAATCGTAATGTCTCGTCCGTTATAAGAAATCTCTGTCCGGATAGAACTTGTTATTGAATATGTCATATGGAACCGTATAATTTCTTACTTCAATAAAGTTTGAAAGAGAAAGGGTTAGCAGCTGTTTGAAGCGAGAAATGCACACAAACAGTTTAAACCTACAAGCTATTGAATTTACGATTTTAGAACTAAGGAGGTCTAGCACTGTGACGACAAGCACCAAATGTCACTTTTAATCAATCATTTAGAACCTACGCCTCTTGTCATGTACCTGGATATAAACACCAAGCGAAAACAGTCTTCTGAAGTTTAGAGAAAAACTAGGAAAAGAAGTGATAAACACCATTCAGTAGTAGGGTGTCTCCCTATTTTTTTAATGCTGCATCCAATCAACTCTTACCGTTATCGTGGCACTTATTCTTCAGAACCTCACTTTACGTACCGTCGTGTAATCTCTCAGTGGCGTATCCTAGGTGGCACAATAGCCGATCGTCTAGTTTGACTACTCTGTGCTTTTACTGTAAGTTCTGTACATCGATCATTTCAACATGGTGCCGAGCAGTGATGAACGGAGGTGGATCAGGAAAAATCCAAAAGCGCTCGACAAGCCCTGTAAGTGGACTCAAGACTCGGAGAACAATCTACAAAGTATGTAGCAAATTTGAAGTTACAAGATCCATCGGCGACCGTTGTCTATCGTTTCTATATATACATATATGCTGCATGTATACGTAAAAAAAAAACAATAAAACTAATCAATTCAACAATTTACGACAAGAAATAAAGAATGTTATTTTGATATTGGTCAGTAAGCATAGTGCTCATTGTTGTAACTACTGCACATTTCACATATGCTTACACTGCGGCATGACACTATCACAATATAGTATAAAAGTCATAGAGGTGGTATTAGATACCGTATCAAATGTGTTTCACATCGAAGTTCGCTCTTTAGTGTAATTTATTGCGCATCTCCCGCTACTTCAATAGATTTGAAACGATTCAATCGCTAAGATACCTTTTTCTAGTTGTCCATAGATCTTTGGTTAAGGAAAAACAATTTTTCATCTCGAAAATCACCACTCACTGGTCACGCTTTATTCATTGAAGGTCACATAATTACGCAAACTAATTGAATATTAGGCAAAGGGGCTTCAAGGGAAAGTAATTCAAACGTATTGAGAACAAAGGTCATAGTGCTGAAGACTAGAAAGCAGGTGGCCAGATATTAGAACCCGAAGGAGAGGAACGCGTTACCGCAGGCGAGGAGGCATCTCATCAAAGCAGAGCTGGGGTTCTAAGGGCTATGGTGGCTGACACTGGCATTTAAAATGTTAAAAACTCTAAAAATACAGGAACTAGGTGAGAAATAGATCCCCCGTGAACCGACTCCAGGCCATGTAGCATTTAAAGAATTTTAATCACCGAAGAAACTGCCTGGAACCCAAGGCCGCCATAAGCGAGGCATGCTCCAGTTTCTATCGCCAGCCGAAAAAAAGACTAGACGAGAGAATAACGTCACCCTGAAGAAAAATCAAATTCAGTATTAAGTAGGTTCAGGTGTAAAGGCTAAGTTTGTTTGTATATTTCTATATTCCGCATTGGTTCTTCAAGACCTGTTTATGGGGCAAAGGCTCTTAAGCACCATAGCAGTTACCTACAAAGGTATATTCTTGACTAATATAATGACACGTGCAATTACAATAAGTTGCTAATAGAGTAGGTTACTGCACCTTAAGTTAATGAGGTCTTTATAAGATTGTATGAAATCTTCCCGTAAGCCACTTTGATCAGCAACTGACGAGTAACGGCAATCTAGGAAGAATGAGTTTACAGGGGGTAAGGGAGCCTCTGGCTAAACAGACTGAAGTCGAACTCACAACAAGAATCACAAGTACTAAGTGTATACATTTTGAGATAAGCGTAGTCACAACCTCTTTATTAATTTATCTTTATTATCGTCTTTTTTTATTATTACAAATAGATCCATAAATAGATAGAAATACGCGATTTTTAACGGACCATTTTAACTGCAATCAAAAAAGCATTTGTGCAATACAATAAATCTTCACTACTAATGTACCTGCGTCGAGTTCGACGGTGACCCACTATATATAAACAGTTAATCGTGCTTAACAATGCAAATGTTCTTGTTGATGGATTCATTGAGTGACTTCTTCTGATAGGCAAGCTTATAGAAATTGATGAATAACGCGAGGCCAAGGAAGCCCTGAGGCATCATGATCATGATAAACCCTGGCGGGTATCCGCAGTCGTAAAAAATTGGAATAAATCCGTGAAGGATAATGGCTACATGCTGGTAGATCTGGGCTTTTGTTAAGTACCGTTTCCACCAGAGATGGCGCTTAAATCGAGGACCCAGCATCGCTAAGAAGTAGTAAATATACATGACGACGTGAATGCAGCAGTTCATACATATGCCGAACATCGTTTGCCCGTCCATGCCAATATACATAAACATATAGCCGTTGAGCACAATGAGAGCGTGATGTGAGACGTGCTGTGCAGTGATATTGTCGAACCGTTTGCGCAGAACGAAGAACACCGTATCAAGAAAGTCCAAGGCTCGTATCAATAAATACCAGTAACAGTAGCTAACTAGGGCGATCCCGTTATCATCCGTCGAGTGGTTCATTGGCTGGCAGAACAGGTTATAACCTCCGCCAAGATACGAGTGGCGAAGGAACTTGTACGCGAAAAAACAATTAGCTATCACCATTGCCACATTGTATACGTTTATGACGTTCCTAAGGTTATACGGTTTTCTGTTCGCCATCATACGTGGTCCGTAACTGTAGATAAAGTATAGGTAGGCAACTTCCAATACGATGACGTATATCGGGTTTGAGATAAGAAGCCAGTCTCTTGTTCGCGGGTCTGCCTTCTCATACGCCCATTGGCGAAAAGTGTAAATAGAGTCAAGCATTTTGCCCAGTTCGTACAGCGGCCTGATGTAAAATACAACCACTAGCGGTGCACGCGTATCTGCAAACTACAGAGAACACGTAACAGCAGAAAAAAAGACGAGCACTTGAATTCTGTTTTTTCTGAAAAAGTACCCTGAATCGACTTTTAGCTTCCACGATACGTATGCAACGTCTCAACAAGTAGTCCACATAACGTGATTGATGGTTCACTGCCTTATAGACTGAACAAATAAATAAAGATAACAGCCGCAACGCCTGGCTGGTTGTATCTGTTTAACCTACCACCCGAAATGTGCAGCAAAAACTTAGAGCGCCGAACTGGGTGCGCGTTCGAAGTTGTATGGCCGCTTGATCGGAGAAAGGGCGCGCGTCCCCGATCGTTCGAACGATGCACGCGGCGAAAGCTGGTCCTGTTTGTAGAGGGTGAAGCAAGGGTTGCAGAAATTATATACGGAGAATTTTTTGTCGCGTGTGTTTGATGTGCTCTGTACATTAGAGGTTCTCTACCTAAGACCTAGACCTATCCTTAGGCGAGTCAATGTTAATATTCCTGGATTCACTTCAATTAAAAAGTCATACCGAAACGGTGTCCAAGAAACCTAATGGCTTTTGTCAGAGAGCGTAATTACTCCAGAAGTTCATTTTCAAATTAGGCACCTGCACCTGTAAACTTCCCGGTCACTAGATAAACTAATACGCAAAAAGCTGAAGCGGCCTGATTTCTCTGTGCTGTGCCAACTCTTCAATATTTACTAAATATTGATTTGGAAATCGAACTGGAAGAGCTGCACAGCTATCCAAATGTAGATATTAGGTTCAGGAATTAGGCAGATATGGTAACTATATATTTGTCAGTTCTGAAACCACACCTTTACGAAGCTGTTATTTCAGTCACCGAATTTTCTAGATAAGTTCTTGTATATAACTTGTGTAGTGATGCATGAGATATGCAGTGTGCTTGTTTCAAGTTTCAAGACGCACGCTCCGACCATTAATCAAATCTTTATGTTGGATTACGATTCGTTAACTGACTGTGGCTTATATAGACGAAAAATAGCAAAATATAGACGTACTTTTCTCTTAAGCCATTGGACCTATACCAGAATTGAAAACACAAAAACATTATTATAGTTAGCAAAACCGCGGCACACTTATAGGAGCCAGTGAAGAAGTTCACGGCCCCCCACAGAACACCTATAATGAACGGAAGGAGCCATACAGAATCTTTGTCCCATGGTAGATAGGCTTGAAGACATATCGAAAGCCCATAAAACAGCACAACTTCAATAACAGAAGTAATGTAAATTTAATTTATAGGACACTACAGGATTAATATATTTCAACCTTTGGATTTTTTTGGAAGTTTTGGAAACTTGAAGTTTGAGTACGTACGTATTTCTCTAAACACGAATAAATTTACATTGAATAAATCATACAAGATGGATATATTATGGTACCTATATTATGCAATGAGTAATTTTGCTCTTCACTTTCAAGTTCGTTTTTTTTTTCAAAAAAAGAAAGTCACGTTCGTTGTATGGAAACCTATAGAACATCCACGCATATTTGTCTAATGTCGTCGATTAGCTCCTTTTATCTAGTTTTTAATTTGGGCCGACTATTTGCATCTTCGAAACCTATCATAGGTTTGCCCTAGCCATGACCGAATCATTAAGCCATAATAGTTATTGTCAAGCAGTTGAGAGGGCATACCATGCTTCCCGATAAATGGCAGACTTGACAATCATAATAGCAGCAGGACTGGGTATGCGGTGAATTAAACGCTAACGGAGGCAAACTCGCTTAAAAGAAAAAGCAAATATTCATTTTCTTTGTTATATGGATACGAAGAGAACAAGCTATTTTACATTTAGTAAATAAACATGTATTTAAAAAATCGACAAGGCTGTATTCTTAGATGTCCTACATTAGCTAGCGAAGGCTGCAGGTTTTATTTGGCTGATAGACGGGACTGTCTTTTCCACACACATTTCCCCCATAGTCAGAAATACTTGTCAGCAAGACGCATCACCAGTGTCTCACGGCATTCAGTTCATATCGAATCTCAAAGATGGGTCGCTTACAAATACCCAAGCGTTATTAACCCACTCAAGATTTAGTAGACGCTTTTAAAGAGTGTAAAATAGCAGCCTTATACGACCACCCAGATTCTTCTCTACGCGTAATTATATTATTACATTTGACTGAACATGAGTTCAGTTTATACGAAGCAGTCTTTTCTTTTATAGATACCATTATTTTTTGGTTCGCGTTTGTACGTGTGTCGCGTTAGAGCAGTTTACAGAAGTAAACGTATAGACATTTATTAGAAATATAGATACGTTGCATGATAAAAACCCATTGAACGCGGTTATATTGGCGGGCTAGCAAATATTCGTAGGAGAAAGTGTTTTAGATTAACTTTGTGACGACGGTCAGAGTAAGTGGAACGTTTTAGTAAATGAAAAAATGTTGAGCGAAAGGAAAAAGCAAATCTGAGCTAAGCACTGATCTTCGGTATGCGTATAATAATAGAAGGATAAGTTATCTCCAATCAATAAAATGTCAATAAAATACTGTAGGTTTCAGAATCCAATGATGCTACTCCGCCTGACCGTGAATGGCAAAAAGACAATGGCCGAAGCTGAAAAACAAACACAGATAAAATATTATTTAGAAAATCGCGTTTGTCTAAATCAGAACTGTGGGATAATCTATATTTTACTCACATGTACAGTGAGTATGTAGCTAGAAACAGCTGACTGTGTTAATAATCGTTCATTATTTGAGGGGATTTTCTATTAAACAACACATACTGAGCTGCACCGCACCGTAGACGCTAATCGTACAAAACGGCGATCAACCCTCATTCCGATTAGCTCAGGTTAAGAGGAATCATCATTCGAAGTGTGTATTCTTCACTCGCGTACTTTCATTAATGCCACAGAAAATTTCTTTTTTTTTTTTTTACAACAATGGCCATCTTCGAAATATAAGCAATTTTCTTCATTTTCCATAAGCAAAGGGATTAACTAAAGCCGTTTGCTGATCTTCAAGGAGTTATAAGCCTCGTTCGGCCCCACCGTGTCAAGCTTTAGTCGTTTTTTTTTTGTATTTTGACCCACGACTTATTTGCGACCTTTTTGTGTAAACATACTGTTCCTTGAGAGATGAGGGCGGGCCGTACCTTGCACACACTTATGGAACAAATTAACTAAATCAAATAGTAAACACGGATGGACTTCGGCAGCTTCGGATTTGTAAAATACCGAAGTCAATGGGTATGTGAAGGCCAGCAAGCCATTTGGGCAATATCAGGTCAATGATGGCGTTTCGCGAAGTGGCAAGCGGTGACTTTGTGGAATTCAAGAGCAGAATCAGTGATAAAGAATGACAATTATGATCTCCCCAGCGGTACTACAAACTATGTTCCCGACCTTCGGCGAACTTCTTGCTATATGGACACGGAGTTGCATTTTTGGCTCTTCCCTCATAGATTGGCCGTCAGCTAGGCGGTGGAATATCTACCGGAAGATGATGAGAAGCCAGCTTATCCTGGTATGTCTCGGAGCTATCACGTTGGATGTTGTGGATTGCTGCTACAGACTAGTCGAAGGTAGACAGATTTGAACTTTTTTAAAAGTTTAATTTTTTAAGCGTAACGCAGGCTGAATGATAAATAAACAGAAAAAAGGTATTCAACCGAGTGTCTAATTTTCGTAAACAATATTCCGCCACTACATAAATCAACAGTATCTTGCCGCTCTACGATAGACGTGTTTGCAAACGAGACATGGACGTTTTAAGAAAAGTCTATCTGACACCAGGTTACGTGCAGTTTCGCTGCCCAGTTGCTTGGGGCCACCGCAGAAACTCCTAACAAAATCGTTCGTCGTAACATGCCAAATGTAAAAATGCCAGCTTTATTAAGCCATGTAAATGTATCAATGGTATACCTTATGTTTAGCTATTTAGAGTGGGCCTAAAAAATGTTAGGCTGGCGTCGTGATGAGCGAAACAGTAAACAATATACCGATAAGATACCGATCTTATAAACATTCTCATAGACATACATATATGTTTGCTTTTGTCTCGAAAACTTTCTATTTAATGAGTTGAAAAGCCTCATACAGAGATCTTGCACTAAAACTTCAAATTAAGCGCTATAGATAAGAATGATTTAAATCTAGTACAGCAGTGCGAACTTTATCGTCAAGACATACTCTTCGTTGAATACCGGAACACGTTGAAAATATATAGCAATGTATTGAAGATATATAGAAAATCGTATGTCAACAATTGATAGAAACTGAGAGTCCATTATGGCATGATGATCCGCTCAGATCTCCAAGCTATGACGATTTTTGTTCGAGAATGACCCAACTTTTGTCAACTTCAATTTGGAAATATATATATAAATATATATATAAGGTACAAAATCGCTGTTATAGTAACAAAAATTTTCCAGTAATAGTACTAGTAGTACCTCCCAGTAACAAATGTAGTTTATTTACAGGCTCATACGCTGCATGAGTTATCAGAATGTTTATCTAAAAATGATATGCCCGAGTTACACAAAAACATAGGCAGTTGTAGGTAATAATACATATACTAGTTAATGGGTAACACGTTTCGTGCTAAGAGCCATCAGTCTGATGGATGCCGAACGGCGATACCGGACGCAAAACTTGAAACATGAAGGTGCTAGGGCTTGGTCAAAGATCTTACCGGTTCATTCTTGACTCCGAAATAACTGTTTATTGAAAAAATAACTGCGAATCCTAGCAGTTATTTGGCCACCCTTGCCAGCTTCTATACCTACATCTTACATACTTAACATCGACACATTTTAAAAGTATGCTTTTCATAGTAGTCCTGGTCTAGTGCATCCTTGCTTCAATGGCGGACGCGTATAATGCCTTGTTTAATATTAACAATACAAATTATTACAAGCAAAACATGCACGACGTTTGTTTTGTTTCATTTTAGCTGATTTCTATCAAGTAAAGTGCGGAAGTTAAAGACAGAAATATACGTTTTAATTATTTTTAAGTTAGGCCAACTACGTATAAGTGATTAAAGTCAAATGTTGCATATCTAGATTCATCTGGATTGTAACATATACTGAAGGGGTTAGACAATTGAACACGAATCGATTGCTTGAACGGAATTTTTGTTTCAAAAAATCTGTATTTAGCAATACTTCGTTCCCTTTTGTACTCACTCTGACCTCACACGTCGTCGCTCAGGCGTTCATCCTGTATTTAGTATTCACCGATTCCATTGAGCGGGTTCGAGTAACTCGACGATGCCCTCCTTTGAGTCGAAGTGGCGCAGGTCGTCGTCCAGACGTGAGTTCGTATCGTGTGGGGGGCGGCATAGGTGGCGTTACAGGTTCGGAATCATCTTCCAGGGCTCCCCCAGAAGTTGGTTTTTGATCAGCGTCAGCTGACATATCGATGTCTGCAGGAATGTCTTCCATCTCAGGACGATTTGACTCTCCCTCCGGTAACGGGTTTGGCGGCTCCGCAGGCATAATAGGTGGTTTCATCGTCGGCATCATTTCCATCATGGCCATTGCATTCATGTTATTGACGCCTTCATTAGTGTTTTTCATCATCGAGTTGTCAGTTATAACGTCGACGTGTACATCTAAAAGAAACAGATAACTGTTAGACAACGTCATCACCAGCGACCTACTCTGCATGCAACTTTTTTTTTTGCAAAATTTTAAGTTAAGTAAGGTAAAATTGACAGTGTAGGTTCCTAGAAGCGCTGCTTTGGTCAAATTTAAAGGTCTTTAGGTTCGAAAATCAGTCCATCAGCCTTAGTCGAAAGTGTTTGAAATGCTAACATCGGAAATTAACAAAATTGATTTTTTATACTTTCTTGTTGTATAAGGCCGGGCATTAAACGAATAACAGCCATTAAATAATAGTTCATTATAAATTAAATAAGTTCACTTTGCAAATGTCAATTTTCGTTCTTGAGGGACCGAGCATAGCATGTAGTGAAATGGCAAGATAAGTTCATTCAGGCACCCCTATAGGATTGCGCTTTATGATTCCACCGCCATAAACTGAAGCAAACTTATCGAAATAATATGGTAAACTGGACAAATATCTGAATGAGGAAAATATAATAGGAGTACGGCAACGCAATGGCTACTGTGCTAACCACGCAATTCTGCATGGTAATATTCTGTATCTTTCGTTATTCAATAGCTACAACGTGATGGTTCGCTCAGTTCTATTGTCGTCTAATTGTACGGACTTCATTACCGTGGTGATGATGAAGTATGAAATCATCAAAGTCGACCGCATCTAGAATCTTGCAAGGTGCCTTCATAGGCCTGTCAGGCAAAGGAAACATCACTGGTTCCATCGGTGGCGGCATCATCATCATCACCGGGGGCACTTCGGTCTTTTTTTCGCTAAGCATTTGAAGTGCTGCATGGAGGAAGAATCTGAAAATATAAAATAACAAACAGTAAGTAAGGGTGAATTCGGGCATACAACTCTATCCAGAGACAAACCTTTCGTGCTTCCCGTCATGGTTAAATTTAGTTGACTCTAATTACCAGCACTGGCAGAATTTAGAAATAACATTTCAGAATGCCTCGTCTGCACTTAAAATAGGTAATTTTCAACGGGCTAAGCAGATGTTAATAGATTCTTTTATCAAGTGGCGCCAGTTGAACTGTTCAACAAGGGAACAGATCACCTACAATTGGTCCTATTAGTACAATTAGACCTATAATTAGTTTCAGCTAAAACGTCACGATGTAAGAGGCGTTTTGAGTGAGTTGAATCTTTTTTAAGGAACCTAATTAACCTGTGTCCATTTAAAAACTATACACAACCACGTTTCTGGTTATGGCTTATGGAATTATATTTATAATTCGAGCATAGCCGTCTGACATTGTTGAATTGCGTAGCTATGCTTGTAGTTCCTGATATATGCAGCTTCGTTGTTCTGGACGCTTTTCATAGGTGTAGAGTACCAGATCTGTAAAGAGGACGACCATCTTCGCATTGAAACTTCTTCAACTCACAACTTTCTAAAAGTAAAACTCAAATCAGACGTATTTTGTTGTTCTGCAAACCTTTTTTTTAGGTTTAAAATAACAAACCGTTTGTGGCAGGATTTTTTACAGAATAAAATGACTGCTTTTGATGATAAAAATTCCGTCCAACACCTAACTATCAATTTAGAAGATATTACGATTTTTAATCAAATTGACACTACAGTTAATTACGTCAGCAATAGGACAAATAGATGATTATACGGTACGGGTGCGTTGGATATGGGTCGAGTGTTAACTAATTTCCGAGGACTTCATGCTAGCCAAGCAAATAAACAAAGAAAGTGAACGCATAGGTAATAGGCACATATTTGTGGATCACTAGATATGCAAAAACGACAAACATCGTTGTACGAACTTCTTCGTAAGCACGGATCTGTTAGGCAGCAAGGAACTATACTTGTGAGAGAGCTCTCTCTATTCGATGCGCGCAAGCTTTCGTTACTCATACCCCTTCTTTAGAGCCTTTCTCAGTTTGGTGCTTTCCGAATCACTGGGCACAAGCGTAAGCACGATACAAGCAAATAAAATAACCTTCATAGACACTCTGCACGATTTTGACCAGGTCGAACCATAACTCGTCAAATACATCTTCACTTCAACAGATGTTCTCTCTGACGGCTATGTTGCATTGCGCGACAACTTTAAACTACAACATCAGCTATTTATAACTGATGGGACTGGATAAGCTTTTCCGTGACGTCAGAAAGATCTTCTTATTTAGCCGCTAACGCGTAACTCGATGTCGTCAGTGGCGAGACAGACAGGCCAGCGAAAGCTAGTTTCACGGCAAGATTTTAGTCTATCGCATTTGCATTCGCAGGAATTGCACGGCACCGCTAAACTTTCCACGAACCTTGGGCGCCGTCCCTCTTTTATACTTAAGTATTCCAGCACTTTTCCCTTGACAACTCCTCTGAATATACGTCTGCTGAACCGTGTCTATTTCGATTCACGTAAAAGCATGACCGGTTCGATATTAAACTTTCTAAAAGTGTAATTGTTATCTAATGACTTGGATCTACATGATGACTAAAAAGATTATGAATCGGCCCCGAGCGAACACGAACCATCTTGTGACAGAAAGTTTTACAATTGTCCGCAATTGATTGGCAAACAAAGTCGCTAGGGTCACTGACTTTATCAGCGGTACAAAAGAATCCATTGAATTCGATTGAAAGTAAGGTTCCCATAAGAATCTTGTTTCGGAACGTCCTCTTAATACCAACAAGTTTCGCGATGAGCCACGGCAATGTCTGACGAAGTTTAAAGCAGACGAAACGCCATCTTTGTGCTAATCACTGCGTGACAACAATCCTCGATGGCGGCTATTGCCACATGCGGCTGCCTCGAATAGAACGGGACCTCGTACTGTGAGGCAATCCCCTGAAATGAATTTGCATATTTCGCTCGGTGTTTTTCACTGTAACTCATCTACTTATTGCGAATTGATTCTGTATGCCTGTGACTTGTCGTTCATATAAATGGGCTATATAGCGGGTCGTTTTCGTCCAAGCTTCGTGCATGTAATAAGCGTTGCTACGATAGTAGGAGCCGTTTACCCATTTAACACTTGGAAAAAGCAGCATTTACCTAACGATCAGATTTAAGTCATCGTAGAACAAAATCGAAGCTCGTAGGACGCGGGCAGATCGACAAACGTATAGTAAGCATATATGCCACAATTAGTCACTGACTAGTAAAGGGTCAGCCAGAAGCTCCGATCAGTTGCTTACGGTAGATTTTTAATCTGTGTTTCTCTGCAGTCATATAACGCGGTGCAGCTGCTTCCAAAATGGTCAGATCGAGACTTGCTATGAGCCTAGATCCGCGTTCAAAAAGATGATGTCGACGTAGATTGGTTCAACCATAAATTTTAACTTTCGTTCATTTAGTTCTCCTGAAGATCTCATTTCCAAATATGCTTAAGTTTAATTTGCCCAAAGAGCAAGTTTGGACGAGCAAAGTATATATGTATGTATATGGGTAACCGGTAACAGTCTTCAGTAGATATATTTCCACATTCCTGTCTATTTATTGCCCTCAAACAAATACTGGTGCATAGTTCTCTTATCAGATATCGATAAGTTCCTATATTCAATTGTAGGACCCAGTTTACCTTCAAGCGTGCACCCAACAGGATAGATCCCAAAATTAGGAGATGCAACAGCCATGCTGTGGCTATGCGATTAGATCATTACTACGATAGATCCCAGGATAATGAGGGATTTTGTATCGTTGTAACGGACAACAGTATCGTATTTGCTTTGAGGCAATGTAAGCAAAAGATGTATAGGCTATAACCGTAACACTTCTTGATGAGTAGAACATTGAAGTCAAAGGACCTTTATTTGTACGTTTTTTCCGACATGGGTCACTATTTAGCCCCGTTCGTTTTACACTAGTTGTAACAAAGCTGCCTACCCTCAAGCTCTAAGCCTTCTGTAGTTGTTTTTAAGAAAAAAGCTCGAAAGCTGGCAACCATAATGCGCTACAAATCGAAGGTTGGTTAAAGGCTAAAAATCTATCTAAACCTACATTCGGCCTCCCGTCTCTTTCAACCAATCTTCTTTACCCTCTGTTTAGATTCCAAATAAGCTACTTTAGTCCCGGTCATTTATTGCTATCTTCCTCAACGTCATATATGTATGTATATACAAAAAAAAAAAAAAAAAAAAAATATATATATATATATATATATATATATATATATATATAGCATGTCTCCTTTTTTCTCTGGCTGATTGTTTAGCCGAACCATCTTTAGCTCTGTCTTCATAAGGGTGTAGTAAATTACTCGTTTCTTTGAACGGCAACAACAAATAAATTGGGATTTTACGTTAGAAACGTATTCTCTGATACAATATACATTTAGCTTAAGTAATCGAATGGAATGGTCGATTTTGGCTTTTATAATGGATCCATATGGACTTTAGCGAAACGCTCTAAACTGTACAGTGAAGCGCTCCGTATTCCCAAAGCCACACGTGGCGTCGCAGAATTTCTACAAGTTCAGACCCATATCCTACTTGAAGATTACTTTATTAAAGAAAACTGGATCTTTTTAAGGACGCCGGTAGATTTCAGGGTTAGAACAGGATGGACGATTGAGTGTTTATCGTACCCTGAGTCAAACGGCTACACATTACCTAGTTGCACGTACGCATTTATGCAAACGCCTATATTAACTTATATATTGGGCAAATCAAATGGGTTGTGGATTTTTAGCAGAAAATCATACAACACCGTGTGTTCAGATAGACAAGGTAAGCAATTTTATCATGCACTAAATATTAGTTTATTGCACAAGAAATATATATATATATAAGGTATACAAGGCTAATGTGTATGGCTGTTAGTAGCCAAAACCTAGGGGCAATTTACTTATGCCACTGGATCTAAATTTCGTTCAGCAACAGGACTCTTTGACTACACAAACAGGTCTATACGACTCTACTGTACAACGTCTTTAGAGTACTTTATCGTTAAAAGCCAAGAGATAGTGCCGAACTCAGAATTAGCTGAACGAAGATTACCAACTGGATACTGTACAATCGTAGAACGTGGCACAATGGGCCTTATGTCACCGCAGGCTAAAGAGATCAGAGATTCGTGTTTGTTCGTGATTACGTGATCCTCTGTAGCAAGCAGCGTTTTCTACCATAATAATCGACAAATAAATGGACATTTTTTCTAGTTTCTAGTATCTGTTAGAAACAACAAGTGCTCTGATATACGTAAATCAATAATTGTAACTATCTAAGCATGGAGATGACCCAGGAATCGTTTTCCTAGACCTCAATTATGTCTCATAATATTAGTGGGAAAAGCGAACGAATAGATGGAACTATTGCCTTAATTGCACGGGTCTGTCGTTACTTAGTGCGGTTTGACCCAACAGAAAACGAGTTTGCACGCCGCATCTAACCTAAAAATAAACATCCGCTTTGTCATCCTGACTGCAAACAACGTTTCGTCTACGGAGGTACTGGCGTTGCAGCCTTACCAAAGTATGCTATATAGATTCCACCACACCGCCACTATTACTAGCAGTCATTAGTAAGCAAACTAGCATGTGGGGTTCCGAATGGGGATCTACATATAAAGCGAAGCTAAGGTAACATGCTCTTTGCTAATCTCTCAATATAGCCAATTGGGGAAAACCTGGAGGAGGCATTGATCGTTCAGCATATATTTGTTCTATCATACAAAATTAGCGGCACCAATGATGGATCTGGGTGACGAGAGTATATCCCATCTTTTATGACCAGCTTCGTTACCGCAACAGCAGCAAAAAAAAAAACATATAGATTCATGGCCTACATAGTCGTCGCACGCTAACTTGGCCTAACGGTTCCATAATAACCCGTTGATATCAAGGATGGCCTGAATAGGCGATGGAGAGCCGGGCCTTCACGGACGCCGGCAGATCTTCTTCCAATCGCAAATGATATTGCCACCTCGATATTAACCTACATGGCCACCTATAGAGGCTTTCCCAGGTAAATTTCCTTAGTCACTTTTTTCAGCACCTTCTTCATCCGCGACACCAACATATTTGATTTCTTCATAATATTGACGTTATTTCTACCTGAACTTGACCTTAAAAACTTCATTTATCATTTATGTTCGTGGGCCTATTTTTCACGATATTTCTTGTTTTTCGTTTATTCATTATATAATTAAATATAATAGCATTAAAAATAAAACATTATAAGATGCTCCTCTACGGGTATTTTCATTATTACGCTTTAGAAAATGATTTTCTTAGAAATTTCACAGAGAATGTAAAAAGTCTCGATGTGTTAGAGATAATTTCCAAGTATAATATCTCAAAAGGACGTGTGCTTCTACTCATCAACGTGTGACAAGTATGATATTATAATTCTTCATTACCGTGACTTATAATGGCAAGAGCATGCGGCAAAAGACGGTCATTTTCTTCAACAGTTAGCCAGCGCAGGAAGAGGCCGGCACAGAGCAGACAAAAAGTGCAAATCCTTCGATATTTCGGATCGTGTCTGTCAGTTCGTGTTGCCTCAATCGGCCTGTATAGTGGTGCTACCTTGCTTGGAAGTGTTTCTCCACCCGTGTTAGCTAGAGCAGATATTTAATCAGGCAAACACAGGTTTCGGCCAAGAATCATGGCATGAGGGCGAGTGAGAGACCGGACTGCCGCCGCCTCTGTCTCCTGAGTATAAATTTAGCAGCTTCTACCGCTAGAATTCGATATTTCCGCTCTTCTTCACTCTGCAGCTGGCGTTCCAACAAGCCAGCTCCGGATGCTGGCCTGCCTTACCGCTAACTTGTCCATAGTGGGCGTGCATGCATGCGACAAATGGTATCGTCTGCACCCGTTCCCTAGATAAGAGGCTCGCTCGTTTATTCGCTTGGCTTGAGGGGAACTGGCACATGGCGACGACGACAGCGGCTGCTTTAAGCAGTCGACTGCAGTGGGGAAAAGGGTAATGTACAGCAATGGCTTCTCTTCTTTTCTTGGCGTATTGCAGCTGCCCCGTACGCCTGCAGGCGCTGCCCACGTTAGTTGTGACACAGGTGCGGCGATGATCAGAGTCGCACTGCGCGTTTACTTTTCTCTCTCGTTAGCGCGCGAGCTACGGCGCTGTTGTCGCAAGCTCACCTCACGGTTGCTGGGGCATGGAGCTGACACCGGCTGAGCCGTGTAAGACGGTGGAGCTGAGAGAGGAGTACCATGGGGAGTAAAGGAAGAGTTGCATGTTCCGAATTTAGCACATAGGGGTCGACTGGGTATCATTTCCCGAGAACAGGGAGGTATCATAAGCATAGAGTGGCGCTACCCGCCCAGTTAGCAATCGACGGGTTACTGCTTCCAGCTGCCATTTACTGCCTTTTTGGCTGTCGTAGTCGGTTGCAACTGCACGGCCAGGCAACCGGGCATATGTCGTTACGCTGAACAAGGCTCTGCCTATTTGCTGACTACTGCACCGTTCGCGTAACAGCGATCAGCAGCTCATATCCGCGTCCCTGTTTTGTGTCTTGTAGATGCGCGGTTTAGGCCCAGTTAAGCCGCAATCTAACAAGCGTTGCTATACACTTGTTGACCAGGGGCTGCAATAAGACGAAAAACGTAAAGTCGACTACTACTTAGGGCACGCTTCTCTTCACTTAGCTCGTTCTATTGGTTGACATCAAAACATCAATTTCAGGACGGTCAATGAACAAACAGGACACGAGAAGAGTGTGTCTGTATAAGTGATCGAGGATTATCTCCACTGTGCACCAATTCGGCAGGTACTTTTTATGGAGTAGCGCTTGCAAGACGTATTTAGTTAAAATATAGTTATGTATATCAGCTGTATATAAACCTCAGGCGATTACCTGTCAGTCTATTTTCAAGCCTAGCGTCTAATGCGTAAATATGCTCATCGGTGAACGAAGAACATTAAACAGGTAACTTAGGAGGATCTTTTATTCGCAGTGAAGTGAGTGAGAAAGGTGTTCTTCCATTTTTCAGACACAAACTAAAATTTTAAAAAAATTTCCTTAAATATATGTAGTGCATACTGTATGAAGAGTTGGTAGAATGGGAGATCCGATAAACACGAGCCATAAATAATGCAACTCATTCAACCCGGAACGATCCTTGATGTGGTGCCAGGTTCTGATTTGCACCTGAAATATTATTTACCGGACAGATTGTACGGACGTATTATAGGACCCATAATGACGATTTGGGTATTGGACGATGCTTCCAGATTTATGGTAGATCTATTTCAATAGGTACAAGAGCATATGTTGAAGCTGCCAAAATAAAGTAGTTCGCTAAAGTGCATAGTAATTTTTAATTCTCGAAGCTATTTAGTCTAATGGGTTAACTGTATTTTTTGCCTGTCGGATGGGAACTAACATATCATTGTAATTTTTAACAGAAAATTCAGTATAACAATACGATGGACAGGTTTGGTTGCTGTTCTGTGAGGTATCCAATGCACGTAGTAAAAGTTGCTTTCCAAAAGCCCTTCAAGTGTCACCGACGCTCTAGCGTGGTCATTACGAATAATGTACTTGGTAGTACCTAACAGGATTTAGGTGACTGAACAACAAGCAGAGTTTACGATTCATTATGCGGAACGGTCTACGTGTTCGTGTAATGCATCACGCCACAAAGGTGTACGCCATGCATGAGCGACTATCTTAAATTATCTCCGAATTTTATTTGAATGATCAGGATCATGTAGCTTTTTCTCTTATGGAACTAAGACTAAACGTTCGTTGCGCTCACTGAATTGAATCCAAATTGAAATATTGTATAATAATAAATATCGGCAGGGCGAAACTTTTACGCTTCGTAACATGTAGCCCAGGTGGCTACTGCTCATCTCTATATACGCAGTCGTCACAATTACGAACATGTAGTCATTGATGATATAAATTTCAGCGTTGGCAAATGTTTACCGAAACATAGTTGCCATGACGTCTCACGTCTCCGTCGAAAAGAACCCAGCCCACCCCAGGTGGACCTTCTATTAGAAGTAAATTTCTGATGCTATACTAATGAAGCGATTTCGAGGTTTTGCTGATAAAAATTGGAATCGTCTGAGGCGTTAAGAACACGGACATCACTACGAACATGGACATCACAATTCATTATTATTCCCACTATAAAATAATTAAAGAAAATTGTACGTAGCTACTTTCCTGTGGCGGGTATCATTGCACACGATTGAACGTAACCGTATTTAGTTGGCGTCTGACGTGGAGCGTTCGACTGCTAGCCTATGCTTATAGTATTCCATGTTTAACAAGACCATATATGTTAATTGTGTTTTCAAGGTTATTTAAACAATTATGAACAAGTAGAAATGCCATGGTACACGAGAGAATAGTAAGGGTCGTCTTAGAAGAACACCGAATATTTCGAATTATGAATATCGTGGTTCAGGTCCCTCAAAACACCTATGTATCAACCTGGATTGAGTCTGCAGACTTATTAATGTAGCTCCTAATACATGCCATTGACCTTAATATGGCAATAATCTAATAATAATAATATGGTAGTAATAACGGTTGTGGACGAGAGCTCAAAATATTCAACGGGTCTTATAAATCTGCCAGAACTTTATTAGGGCATAGGCGATGTAATAAATAAAGGAGACACACATCTGCTTGCGATAATAGTAATAACAATGTGACGAAATTAACAAATGAATAAATATTAGTTGAAGTTCTAAGCAGCGTATTTGACGTATTTTCCTGCAGCACAAGTCTATTCAGTGCTTGCTTATAACATGGACGCCTACCCACAAGCTGGAGTGGCACCTTCAGGTATGCCCTTCAGGATTGCCCTTTATGAACGTAACCTGAAGATTACGTTCGGCAATCGCCGACAAAAGTTTCTGCCGCAAGCTCAGTTCATCACACATCCGCTGACGAATATCTGGAAGCTTTTTTGGACGAACAGCATGGATTTTGCACAGGACATTCGGCCGCTTCGGCATACTGCTATTCTTTCTGCTGCTGAATAACCGGCCATTCCATGCTGAAAATATGACAGGACAGGCAAAATCGTTGCTGACATCGTCGACAATCGTTCGAAGGACTCAGTTTCATGTCAATCAAGTTCTTGCCAAACTTTCGCGTTATACCAATGAGGCTATACTGTTAATAAACATGGACAATGTAAAGGCTATGGAGAGACCGTAGAGACTGCCGCGCTGCCTCCGACACACTTCACATAGACAGAATAGTCTTGGAGTATTCCGATAGTTTTAAGAATCTGGGGGTAATCTTCTCTTAGAACAGCCACTGCAGTGCTATTCTTGGGCAGTTTTTTTGATCCGGAACACCGTTCTTGAAATGTTTATTTTTTTAGTTTATACGTTTATACAGTACAATCTTATTTTTCTAAAGACAAATAAATTATCAGTAAAGAAATTTGTAGCACCGTATAGAATGTTACGGCATGATTTTGCTAAAGTTCTTATCTGGTTCTACTTCACTAACATGGCAATGCAGGAAGACGATTTAGCCGAGGAAATCAAACACCGCTGATATAGCAAACGACGCAAAAATATCGCAAACGATCCTTAGTCAGGATGTCGGAGTGTGACACCGTTACAGCCAAGTACAAGCTCGTCGACTATAACGTTCCGACGGCAGGCCGACTTGCGGCTTTACTCTTTACCTATAAGGGCATAGCCTTTGAGTACATCCAGGTAGATAAGATGAAAGCTCACGAACACGAAACTGGTAAGTTTACCCATATACGCCCAACTGGCTGTTTTCACGCATTAAAAACACTAAAGTGGCTATATCAGTAAGATCCTTAGACGAGTTCTGTAACGTTTTGTAGCTTTGCCAAAATGCTGGGAACATTTCAGTTAAACAATAACTGGCAACTAACAGGAAAAATATGAGCAGTTAAAGATTGTAACAGAGAGATACTTCAAAAGGGTGTTTGATTCAGCTTCAGCAGGCTCCAACCAACTCCATGATTTACAATGATGCATAATACAGTGCGTGCCAGATCGAAATCATCTTGGCTTACATATAATGGCAGCTCACTAAAAGCTGACTATTTGTCTGCCCTACTGAAAAAGGGACACATCGCTTTCAGCGCGAAGCAGTCCAGAGACAGGCCCGAATTCGACACTTCTTCCACAGCGTTGCGCTTTTTTGCGATTAGAATATTTCGGTAGATTTTGATGTACTCCATGTTAGTTACCGTTAGTGACACAATTCCTAGATGTGGCTATTTTCATGAGGCCTGCGTCTTTTTTGTCGATGTTTGAATTTGCACAGCGTCTCCATTTGGCACTCTGCCAGTTTTGTACGTTAACGACGAAATACTCGCTACGGACTACGCAATATGCATGTACATCGCCCGAGTGCACGGTAGGTGGACATACTAAAATGTTTATCTGTCTATAAATGTATACTTATACCATTTTTCATCTACAATAGAAGTTCATCATCTATTGAGCAGCATCAACTAGTTGGTATTTTACATCACTATACGACATGACTTATTTGAGAACAACTGATCCACGATTACCGCAAGCGATATAATTACTAGGCCATAATTAATGAGTAATAATAATAATCAAGCCTGCGGGATTCAGCGACCTAATTGACCCTAACGCAGATGAGCTAGACTCACCTATATCTCTCGAGGGTTTGAACCGGGAATTATATACGCGTACATATTTAAGCACTATGTAATACTCAGCAGTGATCTTAAATTGATAATATATAAAATAGGTATAGTATCGTTTTTGCAGTACTGACAAACAATTTAGTAAATCTGATTCGTCTTTATTGTTGACTGAGGAGCGATGTAGGTTTGGAAGGTGCCGATGCAAACGACGCTGCTCGTTGCGCTACTATCGTGACCGGAATCGCGGCACTCTTTTCCACGGTGAGTACAAGTTACTATAGTGAGTTACGGATTCTAGAAGAGGGCAACGTTCTAGTTCCATTTTTGCGCTACGAAGGAGACGGCCTCCTGATGATAGTCTATCCGAAAAATAATTGTCATTCCATCTGAATAAATATCGGACATCAGCGATATCTCAGAACGACGTTTAATGTTAAATGGTAGAGATACAAATTTTGGTTGACGAGACAACATCGAAACGCAGCAGGATGGTCCTGCACGGACGCTCATAACCACGAGTCCTTTTGTGAGTACTTTTGTGCTTAACGTAATTAGCTTATATATATATATAGAATTGTCGAAAAGAGTACCCCAAAAAGCCCTATACTTCTCGTTGTATTTACATAAAGGCGTCTCCTACTTCAGTTTGTATGGGTGGGAATATGACTGTACATTTTGCACCAATTTGAAACTCAGCATTTATCGAAATTAATTTAAATAGTGTTCAAAGAACAGAAAAAATGCTTGTCTCTCAATTAGAGCCAAATTGCAAGCTACTTCGAAAACTATGCGACGTCTTCTTGGCCTTTTCCAGAAACTGTTAACTGGCAAAGACATTCGAGATAAGCTGCCTAAATACCTTCGTAGCTTTGACAAACTTTTGCGTCAAGTCAATACTGGGTATTTCGTCGGAGAGCAGGTAAGTTCCTTCAACATATGATATGTAAACGTGAAAATTAATGGTGTACGAGCAATGGACATGCTAAAGTGTACTGATGCCCTATTTTAAGTGAGTCTTCAAATACTGAAAAAAGCTTCACTCGACTTCGGTTATCTATATACCTTTAGTGATACTATAGCGGAATGGTTATACAAACCAGAGTTTACCCAGCGTTTCGAACTGCGATGCAGTGAGAGAAGCTCATACTGTGTGGTGTTATGACCAACAACAACAACCTGTCCCTAACATAGGTATAGGTACATGTTGGAAAGTTATTCTTAAAATAAGTTTTAATCAAGTTAGTGTAACTATGCAAAATCATATTTCCAGATTACGTGGGCTGATTTAGCCGTAGCATTTTCCTGTCATCAGATCCAGGCGCGATCAGCTGGTGCCCTTGATAGACATCCCTCTTTAGGAGATCATTACTTGAATATGTACTCAATCCCAGCCGTCAAGAATTTCCTTGAGGAAACATGCCCATCTGAATAACATCGCCACGGTTTCTCAGGCGATCCCCCAAAATTGTTTAGGGGATATCTAGCATTACGGTACTGCGTGTCGCTTGACCAGCTCATCGAGTAGGCAGAATATATGTCTACTTATTGCAACGCAGCACAGATAGAACACTTGAGAGACATTAAATGTCGTCTCGCTCCCTGTAGCATTAATGGGAACGACAAGATGCAAAACGTATCTTGGGCTAGGATCTTCCACATGGGCTAAAACGCTTCATAAGCCCTAAACCATTATCTAACCCCTGGACCATAGCACTACAAGGACACTATTTAGTACAATTGGATTGTTAAACACCTTGGCAAAATCTACCTACCGATTGAATCAGCCAACCTTTTTGACGCACGCACTTCGCGTTCAAATCTCTAAGTAGACGAGTGAATTTACAGTGATTCTGCTTGGATAATTTTGCTGTTTCTCAACTTGTAAGCTGCGTTAGAGAAACTTACGTACAGTTTTACGACAATTAAGTTAACGAGAAGACGAAGGAGCTAAGCGGCAAGCTTTCCTAAGAATATGTCTTTCCTAAGACATATTGAATGTTAGTAGATAAAGTAACGAGTACAGGAATGATATGAAGGGTGAAGGAATTTAGTTACTTCGAAACACTTCCGGTGGTAAGCGACGGTACTGCGTATGTCAGATTTAGACAGCTAAATCTGATCTTTCGCACAGTTAGAGTGGGGGACGCTCTGTTTGCAAACCAACGTGCAACTAGAGCAGTTTCCGAATAACTTACGTTGTCTAAAGTCAACCAGAGGCCACTACGTCGGTCAAACTATGATTTTATGTAAGCATACCCCCGACGAGATTACTACGGTCCCGCCTTTTCGTTGAAACTTTCTTGTTTCCTCTTACACTAACTTACTGCGCGTTTTTCGTCTTGCCGTTGGATTTAATTCATTTTTCACTCGCTCACATAGACATACTCTACAAATTTTCGATGCTGCTAGGATCGATTAACAGTACTAGTGAAGCTGAAGCTTAATATGAACCTTCAAATGAAACCTGTAGATGAAAAGGGATAAAATGAGTCAAGTGAAGCTTTACCACATCTAGCACAGTTGTAACACTGATTACGACATCGATGACAGAACAGAACAGCAGCTTAAAATGCGAACGAACCTCTCCAATGACGAAGTCACCAGACCGCCTTTTTCCAGAGCGGCTTTTTATTTCGTGCTATATTGATATCGTTACGAATATCGTTATCTGTAAACGTGACGGGCCACACGGAATAGGCACTGTCATCTACGACAATTGAAATCATCCGTCTGCATGGATCGTTATTTCTATTTATAGTTAAAGTCTCAGCTTAGCAGTAATAACAAACAGCTAACCATCAGACCCGAGGGGTTTAGGTATCGAAGGTAATGCTCAATGGTAATTTACGACGATTCCGGAAGCTACAAGCCGAACTTTTAGCAAAAAGCTTTAACGCTGCTCAACGACAGTCGCAGGAATAACGACTATACGCGCTAACAGAAAGAAAGCTGTCGTTGCGCTTCTATAGAAAACTAAACAATATACTGATTATATTGATAACGAATAATATTACAAACATGATCATCGTCATCATTGGCCTTCGGATAGTGGCATTCACGTTCAGAGCAACCAATTCAAACTCTATTTGAATAGCGATCTGTTGAAAAACACAAGCGGAAGCTCTAAGCTTGAGCCGCACAAAAGCGAACATGCCAAATACACGCCCAGCCCTTAGTAGGAACATCCCTTTTTCTTCCCAGTTTCCCTGCTTCAGGCTCGGCTTGGGTTCTTTCCATTTCTCTCTAGATGTCGAAGACCGTTAGAAAGCCACGCGTCGTTTGGAGCAAGCATCCTTATATTTACGATACACAAATGCCGCCCCTCTTTACCACCGAGAGGTCAGCTATTTTACTCAACACTATAAAAGAATCACCGATAACGCAAAATGGCAATAAGTAAAGAGTACAGCTCTCGACTACAGACACAACGGCAACAGCAGCAGCAGCAAGCCAATGACCTGACATTAGCAGCAACCCAAACCTTAGTTACAGTTTCTACCAGTATTGCTACATGTGCGATTGCACTACAGCGGGTACTACCATAAGACACTGACAAGAGCAGCGGTAGCGATACATAAAAAATAATGTTAATCAGAAAAAGCTACCGCTCTTATCAGCTAGAAAATCACAAATCGCATTATTTTCTGTCGATGGCCGCAGACAATGGAAGTAATGTTAACCGCTGTTAATCTTCATAGCTAAATACTGTTCACAAACAGAAGTTAGGCCGGGAAACAACGTAAACAACATCGATCACGAGTCTGCTGAAAGACAAAAGGTTCTGGTAGTAATAACCAGCGGTAATCATCGAACCCATAGAGCAAAAGTTAGTCCAATTGGGAGCGTTGTTTATAACGGGGCGTTGCAGACAAAGGCGATCGATTCGTAACAAAGAGAAGACGCTTCGCCGAGTGAACTATAAGCTTCAGTTGGTTGTTTGGAAGAAACTCAGTCCATGTATCCCTGTTTCGTACCTATGACTGGTAAATACATTGATCCTTTCTTGAAGGACTGAAGGAGATTTCAACACTTCAACCCATAACGAAGGTACACACGCGATTTTGATCCAAATACTATGTTGTTGTTGTTGTTGTTGACTATATTGTTGTTACAAGAAGATTTAGCGCTGTGCTAGCGGCACGTATTGGTTTAAAAGATTGATGAAATAGCCCGCCTGTTACTTATCGTTGCCAGAAATGCTCTGCTACGCTGCTAATTATTAAACTAGCTTGCCAAGCTAAAGGAGGTACTCGGAAAAGAGTATCGAAGCCCATTCTTCCGCTGGGTTAAGAACTAGACATTACCCATTATCGGAGAAATGTACCGTTGGCAACGTGCGGGAGAAAAACAGTGCACGCTAAAAAGGTAAAAATAACCGATAATTACTATGTGTGTTTTATATAGGCACCGTAATATCATCTATCCTTAGAGCTGGGATCAAGCCAAAAGCAGGGGGGTCGAAAGCAGGGGGGTCGAAAGCGAACAACTGCTTTAATGCATGCACCAAGTTCTACTAGCAGCGGACTCGTCACCATTTCGCAATGCCAAAATAAATCCTTTTAGAATATAAAGTATATCAAATCGTCACTAGACATGGACACAGAAAGAATGCAAACTTAATCTGAACATTAAGCGTGAACTTGTGCTGTGAATCCGTTAACGGTGATATCCGTACTGTAACTTCGAATACGTATAAACCGACTTACGTACGGACAATCCGCCGATACATTATCGCCTCGATATTCGCTCAGATCGACACTGAAGGGCCTAGAAAAAAAAAAGAGTCAAACGAGAAATGTAGCCGTAAAAACTGTTTGTTAACGACTCGAACATCAACACAACGTCAGCCGGTCTAAGGATACTGGAGCAGGATACGACACTAAAGGAATAAAAACAATAAAATTTACTTACTAGTATTCTATAACAAAAACAACAAACTATTATACAGTAATATAGAGCAACCGAAAGGTATTATCGAACGACATCATCCTAATTCCAAATTATAGAGGTATAAAGAAACATAATAGTAGTAATGATTGTGAACGTCACTCATTTAGTATTCTACACTAACCGAATACCATAAAAGACAGTGGCGACAATGTTATCTCATGTTATTAAGTCCAAAGAGTCTACATATATAGAAACAGTAATATTCCATGATGACTCCGGTCATAGGTAACATGACGTTTCCGTAGCGCATATTGATGTGACTGTTATTACCATAAAAATAATTGTTTATGACACACTTGCACATTGGTCCACGAACGATTACATAAAAGCAATCATATAACTTTTAAACACAACACGATCAAGCTGTTTCCGACGAGCTGAGTTACGGGTACGATCACGAGCCTGCATAGCTCTGTTACGAGCGCTATAAGTACAGGGAAGTTCAACGTAAAAGATTAAAAATATAGTACGTATCAATTGTTAGTCAGTCAGCCAGCCAGCCAGCCAGCGTTACGAATCAGCTATGGAGAACCGTATCACTGCGAGAGTTGTAGCAAGCGTGGGATTTGCGTACGTTTATGTCCGCTGTGTAGCAAAACAAGTACTGATCTAACATTCAATTAACAGAGGCATATCGTTTGTCAAAATACTTTTGGGTACTCTCAGCCGATTTCCAGCTGTATGGTTCTACGTAAAAACGTGTCATTTGAACACGAAAAATAACGCGTAAGTGTAGAAAACAGGCTACGGATAATTGCGAGCAGACCTTAAGAGAGGAATTCCTATCCGATAACCACTCGCATGGAAAGAAATAGTCTTTTTTTCAGTTTTTTTTTCCTTACAGCGGATCGAGTGTCCAGCATAGGAAACTTGCAGAAGTTACGTAAATACCTAAGCAACTTCAGAGTACTGTGAGTCTTCCGTTGTAGTAGTAGTAGTAGGACGACGCGCAATTGACCCCCAACTTGTTCATCATTGTAACACACCATTTTTTTTCTGTAACAATGATAATATTGTTGCTATATTTACACCCTTGCACAACAAACACGATTATCTTTATGTTTTATGAGTTAGCACCGTTTTGTCGAAGTATATTAGCCATCAGTGCTTATATAGTAGGCGAACGGAAGCAAAAACAGCTGATGTTTCACCAACTTTACGTTTCCGATTTTTGAACAACATTACCTTAGCGCTATGGACGAATCTTATGAGATTTTCCCTCGAGGGCTTCAAAAACGATCCCTTAAGCCAGTTACCTCGGTTAGTTCTAAGCTGCTCCAGAGGCTCGAATTAGTGTCAATTCTATAAAAGCGTTTGTTTGACTACCTCGATCAGATGAGCTAGGTACGCCTTCGGCAAACGTGAACAGTTTGCCGGCTTCCAATTCATTTCATGGCATCGGCGTGTATCAACAAGATAGCACGAAAGTCGTAAAAGCCACAGCTATCTTCGCGATTGTCTCAATAGCCCTGATAACCTAAATAGAACGTCTCGAGGACGCCAGCTTTAGACGAAATGTACCTATCCTCCCCTCCACCTAACAGGTGTATTTCTCTCGATATCCGCTTTGGTCAATAGCAAACAGACACAAACCGTCCTAATGACCAAGTTATCAGAGTGAATAGAACAAACAAAAATCGTTCATTTAATGTACACGTAAACGATAAATATATAGTAAAGGCCACAAGGGGTTATGAGCGGACACAATATGAACAGGAGCAATGTCACTATAGGACTTCTAATGCTTCTGTAAGGTACAATTGTTGCTGACGTGAGGACCAATGCAAAATGATATTCAAAATTTAGATCGTCGTGGGTTCAATTCAAAAGAAGGTCGAATCCAAGCACAGAATCTATTGCCAGATCTGAAGCTGCAAAACTAACTTTTTTAGTGGAATAAGTAAGTGAATCACTCTAGACAAGACTTAAGCTCTAGTACACAGATTACTTCATTGACGATTTTATTCTAAGAGTTATACCGAGTATCGGCAATCTAAGTTACACACAATAGATGTGAAAATAAATCCTCGTTTCGTTCTATTCTAAGAGTGATGGTTTATGGTTAACGTAGTCTTTGCTTTATAGGCATTATGTAACAATGGAATGACGTTGGACAGTTGGCCACCTTTTTATTTCCGGGGATTAAAATTTTTTTTATCTGCCTCTGCGAACTATATCTATAGTTTTGTCTATAGTGGAGGTCTGACAGTATCTATTGAATCTCATATAGTTGCTATCTCTCATTGTTCAAGCAGTAGTTTGGCTGCCCTTTGAAACAAGACCACTTCAATGATTCCTCCTTATTTGAATTTTCTGAAATGGTTCAGGTTAGCGGTTGTTTCGGATAAGTTACCGATGATAGAGATCATATTATCTAACTCTTGCTTATGATCCATGGTACAGAAGACGAGAACAGTAGAGAGTGCGAACCCAACAGTGAGTGGGGAAAAAACGAGATGGGAAATAAGTTAAGCTTAAAGTTTTCAAAACATCCAACTTCAGAATCTTTTTGCCCCTGTTGTCTTTAAATGTAGACTAGTAGTTAAATATGTACTAAAGGAATATCGATGCCATGAGGCGTCAGAGTTTAGTTACAATATAATTAGCTTAAGTTTGACTAGTATCTCGCTGAATTGCGATGTTTTAATGTTTTCTGTACGCAGGTTAGATTCATAATGATTCATAGGGGATAATCGGTACTGGATCATTTTTTCAAAGTTACTTGACTGCTTTACAGGAACTCATCAGCCAAAGCTGTAACCAGCGTACGTATATATTGGTGTGAATGTGCTGCAATGAATTTGTCATAAAACGATAAAATGTTTGATAGTCCTAAAGTTAAACGAACATGTTTTTTGAGTGTGCGCGTACTAATATATATTAAAAAAAAAAAAAAAAAAACTACAGTAAAACGGCGAATTAATTCATTGAAAAGAAAACCGTTTCCTTTTCTTTCCTGTGGCCCTCCCAAAGATATATCGTGTGTATGTGTGTTTGTCTGTGTTATGTTTTTTATATAAATCGTTCATGAATCTGACACTATAAAAAGAGCATCTTTTTCGGATCGCCCTAAGTTAATAAGTTAAGTGTAGGCCTTTCGTTCAGATAAGTGATTCGGCAAGTTCTTTCAGGTCCTAGTGTACACTCGTTCTTAATCTCACTGTGAATATAACTGCGAGTTGAAATTAGCGTTATTACACATACAACATCTGCGGCACCATTTCAATCAGAGAGCGTGACAACAAACGGCCTTTCCTGGGGCCAGCCGTATCAGATTGTCCTTTATGAACTTCCTTAACTTCATTTATGCACGTTTTGGCTCAGCACGAGCGTGCGGAGAAGAGCTAGAAGTGCGCTCCAGTTTCAGTTTGGAAAAATTTCTTAGGCTATGCCCGCCCACAAAGTGGACTTTAAACAATTATACTGAGACAAAGTTTGCTACTGGGTGCAAAACGTTTAATTGTCAAACCGTCACCAGTGCAGTGAATTAGTCAACCAATAATTAACCAATTATAAAAGAAATTTAAAGTGGCATTTCGATTTCCGACAAAGTGCGTTCGCTGGGCTGCTTTCCTTTCAACACAATTACAATAGATAGCAAAAAAAATAATAATAATAATATTTAGTATCGCCCAGGTATAGTTAGGTGTGTGTTGAATCGGTTCCGTCATATCGAGGCTTGGGCAGGTTCCGATCGCATTACTCGAGAGAAAAGTCACCTCGGACATATAATCGACACATTCCGATTGCATTTCGACGTCTCTACATTGTATTTTAAGCACTTCTATCAGGTAAATTTCACATAAGTATATAAAAAGTACTTTATTTATACGTATATGTGTGTGTGCAGTCTTTCTTCTCCTTACGATCCGTCTAACAGGTAATTAGGGGAACCCTATCGTACACTTTTTTATATATACATTTTTAGAGAAAATCTCTTAGATTTATTTTATGTAAAAACCAACTTTTAAAAACCAAGAGTCCACAATTGGTTGACGAATAATAACTTTACCATTCAAGGTTTTGTCCAGTTTCGATTAAGGAAGAATCATAGACATGTAATAAATGATAATCTCTCACTATTGATGCCCCGATACTTCACTGAACTGCTAGGCCGCGAAATCTGCTCAGCGAAGATTTACGATCAGCAGGGTAAATGTCCTTGCGGAACCGCCGGACAAACCGGACTTGTTTAGGACAGTGCGCCCCTCCATTAGCGCATTTTACAGCGGCTTAATAGAGGCGACGACGACGACGACGATGATGATGATAGTGATAGTGGTAGCAATAGTAGCAATAGCATCGTTCGTTCCAGCATCAACTGCGTGCCCGTCTATAAACTCCGGTGTCCCGTTAGTTGCCTGGACCAAAAGCCTAGGGTTAGTCGCTCGGCAATCGCTGGGGTATCGGCACACCTTTCTTGTCGCACGTTTTGACCCCCGACTGATCAACGGTACAGTTCCATTATGACAGCGGAACACTTCTGGAGGTGACAACATATATGACTGGAGCAAAACGTTTACTGAAATAGCTATAATTGGCGAACGAATTATATCGAGAACGACGCACGTAGCTTTTGTGAAGCCCGTTAAGTTTTCGACGGTATATATGGCCTGAAGCCTAGAAGCTAGTCAATCGAAGTAACTTAAATTAAGCCCTTATGGACGCTAGCGAAACACTCTACCGGATTTGCAACTAGTTGAATTTTGAAAAGGCGTACCCTATGATATATGAACAGGGACTTAATACAATATTTACTGCTACCGAATAATTCCTTCTACCAAAAACTGTTTACAGCGGACGAAGGAAATAACCATACGAATCATAAAAGATAATCCTAGCAGATCCTCGATGTAAGTAAGCAAACGCCCATGTGTAAATCTATTGGCGGCTAATTTAATTTGGTGTACGAAAGGGCGATCACAGAGGCCCAAACATGTCCATGACTTTCGAGCAAGCTCTGGACCAGGTGGGCAGCTTCGGACGTTTCCAGTACTTTCTCATCTTCTATCTGTGTTTGCTTGTAGTGCCACTGCGTGTTATACCTCTTTCAGTACACATTTTTACGCTCCTCGAGCCTCCGCACTGGTGAGTATACGATCCAATTTTGTTTTCAATGAACAAAAAAATAGAGTTTTATCTAACGTATCTATTTAGATATCGGAGAATATATCGGAGAACCTATACATCCTGTACGACACAGGATCGTTCGTTTCTACGAGGACTAATTATCTTACTGAAACAATTTAACCTTTGCCAAACTATTTTATTATGCGAAGATCCATTTAAGCGGGTACATCATTGTCCAGATCATAAACATACAAATAGGAATACGTTCAGCTCACCCTATGCAAACCAAGCTCTTCGCTGAGTAAGCCATATGCTAAGGCAAACTTCTAACTACCCTTCAAAGGCTACCTATAGCGCTGGTAACTGACCATCTAAAATTGATTTCTATACACAAATAACAATACGCAGAGTGTTAGAGTGCCTGTATCACTCAGATTTTGAGAGCGGTAGCGAATTTCAAAGCACTGCACATGAGGAGGACCTTGTAACAGAATCAGCTTTAAAATGCAGAAAAGGAACAACAATACTCGGAAACAATTGCTAGCAATTCGTTTCGTTCAAATGTCCAGACAGCGATTTCCGTTGTTTTTTCTATTCAGGAACTACTAGTGTATGTGTCTTCTCGAGGTAACAACACTGATATAACTTCTCTTCTATGAGAAGATCTGGCCTACCGATTAAAACGTGTTTCCTTTTTGAGCTTTGACGATGAGGATAACATGGTGACATTGATTAAGGGCAGAGCACCCTCGTCTAATTGAGCTTCACAATTAAAATATGAGCATACAATTAATTATAATAAAATATCCAATACGAGCAATAGCTCGTAGTATATGCTACCAGGTGAGTCAGGAGTTAAGTGATTCTTTAATGGCCTTTGGTTCACTCTGTGTATACAAATAAAGGTCGTTATTTGTATTTTTTCTGCTCTGTTCGTTAACTTTTTCTTAAAGCTGTTGTTGAATCGATCTGATTGCGAAGGGTGCCGTGATGGGGGAAGTGGAAAAATGTGGACTATCAGCGACCAAAGCTTTTACTCGTACAAACGTATAAATATAAGACTCCAGACCCGCCAGTTTTGTAAATAGCCTTCATCGTTAGACTTCCACAGATCGAACGGCCAATCGCTATCAATCACGATAAATATGAACATATGTGTAATACCAAATAGTTGAAATAAGTTTGATCTGAAATTACTTACTACGCTCTTTAGTGCAAATTCAGATCCTTAGTTTGTCGAATTTTGGTCACAGTTGGCTTCATGAAGTAACATTAATGCACGGAACAGCCATCTATCTGACCACGGCCATATCTTTCAGGCGCTACTCTTAGGGTTTGAAAATGGATGTACCCTTCAAACTTAGGCTCATAAATCCAAAATGTAAAATTGTCCTAATTTGGGAACATATAATTTTTCCGCCCGTAAATATGTATAGGTCCAATTATCAAGCTGCCTATTACACTGTCTTGATAATAATGAATAATATAGACGATTCGTTTCATATACCGTATTGGAAGATTCACTCTAAGCCAAGGCAGCTTAATACAAGCGAAGGTCTAGTGCGATTCTGATCAATGAAAAATGGATTTTTATCTAGGGGCAAACAGGAAGAGCTTCAAGTTGTGCGCGTTTAGTTCGCCACATTGCAGTATATGGTACATCCTTTTACCTAAATATTGTCCCAGCAGACATATAATAGCTAATAAAAACTTATTAACTACGTAATAATAATAATGAAGGAATGAATGTCATGAATCTTATAAACAGTAGCTTCCATAAATCAGATACGTGTTTCAGATGTAATAGTACGGCCTAATGACGTGTTCTCTGTCGCTCGACAGTAAACATACCTTGGGAGTCATCCTGTCGTTTGATTGATTCCCCATAGATGCGACGCGTCTTCAAGACTGTAAGATAATACTTTATGCACCGAAAAAAAATGAAGTTCTATTACCAGAAAGAAGTGCCTAGATCGTAATCTCGAACAAATACACTCTTTTTTTTTTAGAGATTTTTTGTTAAATAATAAGAACCTATGTATGAAGTATGAACTAAAAGCAGCCGTGGTAATCTAAAACTGTAGAATGTTTACAAAGGATTAAACGATACCTTGTTTTTTTCATAGATGGCTAGATTTTGGATTAATGTCATGTACCTAGATTTTTTTGCACATGAGTAGCTTTAGGTCTGTTTCTTGTTCATTTTCCTTTACCCATTAGTGCTGCCTCACCTCGGCTACGACTGCCGACCGATTTTGCTTTTGCCCATACGTGTATACAAAAGATTCTTTAGAATCCATAAAGTAATTCTAGCTGGAGTCATCATATGGGTAATATTCCAAAGGATCTTCAAAACAAGCTGTAAAATAATTGTTTCGGTTCTGCGCAAATTTATATCGAAGCAGATTAGTCGAGGGGAAGCTGCGTTAGGTTGTTCGGAGTATATATTGGTCCCCGCAATTACATTTGTACAAAATGGCAGGTGACAGAAACCTCTATACTAAACAATATCAGTACAACTTCATTTAGCAATAATTTTTTTTTTTTTTTATAATAAATTACAGGTGTAAGAATCCGTACCTTGAGATACGTGGCTACACTCAAGAACAAATTAAAAACTATTCAATACCTCTGAAGCACTCCGATCACTATCATTATTCAAAATGCAAAATGTATGATTACAACTGGGAATCATGGGATGCGTAAGTTTTCCCTTCCTATAAAATTATACGAAAAGTCCGAAAACGGCAAGTGTTTTCACAGACTAGTTATGACAACGACTCTGGAGTCAGCTACCAGGTAGTATTTTATGAGACTAAACAAATGTGTTATATCAAAGTAATGTAAAGGTAAGGATAGTCGTTGTGATCGTATTGTTCCGAATGTAAGGCATACAACGCTAGCAAACACTGACTTAAGTTTGAACTCAGTTGTCATCTGTGGCTAGCACTGATTCAGTTCTCTTTGACTTAGTAAACCTCCATGGTTTTTGTCTCTGATATATTCGCTCACGCTCCCCTTTGTCTGAAACAAGTTCAGGAACTACGATCATTAGATTCGTCAAAACGAATACCATTCATAGCTCATCTCCTCACTTCCTCACGTGCCCTATCCACCGTGCTCCATCATAGAACTGAGCTAGCAAACCTATAAGAATGAATTATAAACAGTTCGCTGTTTGCTATCTACGTTTTCGAAATATGTCGCCCGTCATGATCGCGATGATAATAGCGAACCATGTGTCAACGGTAGCCATAAAGCTTCAGATTTCTAGCGGTTGAGCGCTAATTCGTAAGGCGTGTCGGCCATGTTGGCCGAAGATATTCAAATCACTATGAATTAATGTAAATAAACATGACAATTTGTGTGGTACTGATCATTTCCGTAGGCCTATGAGTATTTCTAGCACTAATATTTCTACAGGTCTCGATGGCCGGAGTTTAATGACAGCTCAAAAGTGATGCCATGCAAATATGGTTACGTATACGACTACTCAAACGTCTACCCAACTATCATTAGTGAGGTAATCAAGAGTATATACACACACATAACACATCAAATTTCTTTGGTTGGCGCGCAGCGAACTAGATGTATGCATTGAACTGCAAAACCGTAAAGATACAAACAGCTTCAATTAGTTATTAACTTAAAGCAGAAATCTGTTGAACCAAGTTGAAGGCTGAACAATACAGGCCATACACATTTTCTAGACATATAAAAAAGTACAAAACTTTTTCGATTTAAAGAGAGTTGAACCAATGAAATTCCGTATATTGTGTCTAACGACTGAGAAGTACTTCGAAAATGTTATGAACAGATTTGTTTGCGGCTTGCTATTAACGTTTTTGATGCGATGCTTGGACGTTTCTCTAGGACTAAACGTTAAGTGTGCTCCATTTATATATATATATATATATATATATATATATATATTGTTTTTTACGTTTAGGACAGTAACGCTTTTCTGTTTCGCAGAACGATTGGGTCTGTGGAGACACGTATAAAGCCTACATCGCGAACTCCGTGTTCTTTGCTTCAATGTCCATAGGAGTACTTGCCATCGGGCATATTGGAGACATGTAAGTACGTTCAATATCATGGACATCTTTTAACAAGAGAAAAAATCCATATGCCATAAGTCGAGCTTCATAATGCTTCCATCCAAGTAACTGTGCCAAATATTGAGCCATGGCCATCGTGTCACCTTAAACTAATGTTAACTTTCAATTTAGTTTAGCACAAAAATGCTAAGCTCGAATTGATGGTCTTTTGAAAGGTTTCTTTCAACAAATGCATTAATTTTCCAGTGCCACAGGATAGACCATAAGCGACTCACAGCCCGCAGCTTCAATAATCGCTCGAAAATAAGAATCACTGCTTCAACCAAGTATGAAGCACATTTCAATAATAGCAACTACTTTATTTTTTTGTCTTAAATAAGCATTGACGATTCTTTTAAAATCTACATTTATACAATCGCAACCTCTCCCTTCTCAACCCGTTTCGGCCGCATTGCATCGCAGAGTTTAAACTAAAAACCAGTGAGCGCCCAAAGACGCACGCGTCCGAGGCAGAAATTATTTATCGAAGCAGAAACATGACTTACTCGAGTAGTAGTGAGATACATTTTTTTTTTTCTTCATATTTATTGAAACTTTTCCTTCAAGGGTTGAGTCTCTGGTATATTTATGGAACGTACAATCAGAGTTTCATAAAAGGTCCTGTTACAGATGTTGAAATTGGAAAATATCGATCGATCAAATAGTAAATAATCACACATATCGGATTTTAGGTAGCTCTCTAGCTTTTAATCTTAGCTCTAAGAGGTAGAGCGTGTGTGTACGCGCGTTCGTTGTCTAACCGGAAAAAAACGACTTTTGGTTTGATTGTAATGATGACGCGCTAGTACAGAATTAAATGAGACATGCTCGCTGGGCAGTGGTTCGAATTTCCTCGTGTCCACATGCCTTTCCATACTAGTATGATCGCAGCTTTAGTTAATTAATCTTATTAATTAATTAATTCTTTAATTAATCGCGGCTCTAGGGCTAATGCAATCTGCAGCAACAATCTGCAGCTATGATTCGAAGCAGGAGGTCATTAATGAGCATGTTATCACGACTATCTAGTTTCTATTAAGTCTAGCAATAGTTTCGTTCAGATAAGACTCCTGCTGCTGCTGCTGCTGCTGCTGCTGCTGCTGCTGCTGCTGCTGCTGCTGCTGCTGCTGCTGCTGCTGCTGCTGCTGCTGCTGCTGCTACTGCTACTGCTACTGCTACTGCTACTGCTACTGCTACTGCTGCTGCTGCTGCTGCTGCTGCTGCTGCTGCTGCTGCTGCTACTGCTACTGCTACTGCTACTGCTGCTACTGCTACTGCTACTGCTGCTGCGCTACTGCTACTGCTACTGCTGCTGCTACTGCTGCTGCTGCTACTGCTGCTGCTGCTACTGCTGCTGCTGCTGCTGCTGCTGCTGCTGCTGCTGCATTCTTTTAGTGCCCGTCAACTCCATGGCGGACCCTAGACCCTTCTCTGATCGACCATTCGGCTTCGGTTGGCAATGTTTTTTGAGATGTAAACACCCTTTCATTGGTTGCGCTCTTTCATGGGTTTTCCTCGAAACACCCATTGCGGGTTGCATATTCCTATTTAAGATTTTAATAAACAGATTTGTGGCTGAAATAGAGATGTTCTGTTCTGTCCATGACAATCTCCTTATGAAAAAGATAAACGAAAAATTAGACCACGGCCAACACAGTGATTAGAAACATGTTTTTGCATTAGTTAGCAGTAGGCCTCTGTCCATCTGATGACTTTTGTCCGTGAGCGCAAAACGGAACGTGCGCCCCTTGTTGAAAAGCTTTAACCACCAATAACAATAGAGTATACATATATATAATGTTATTGTTATATATGTATGTATGTAGCGACGCGTAAACAGCAAAACAACTGGGCAAGGGTTGACGTGGACAACTTTTGACATAGTAACGCGAGCCACTAATAAAAATAATAATAAACTGTACGAATATGCTGATAAAATAGTACAACAAGTAGACAAATAAATCAAAGAACATTACTTGCCTACTCTAAGTATACGATGCGCCTAAACGAGGGTGCGGCCGAATTGAGGAACGTTTCGGCGGGTGAGCGTTCCGTCAGCAGGACTGCGCTTATTCGCTATACCTAGCAGCAGACAGAAGCCAGTTTTCCTAGGGCCCGTCATGGCAAATGAATCTTTGGCATATAGGCAAAGCTGGACGAATCGCGTTGATTTCGGGTAAAAGTTTCACTTTTTACCCAAAATCGACGGTTTATATTATCACCACTTGTTAACCGGTTGCTGAAAAATTTCACAGACCCTATTGAGGACCTTCTAACAAGATCCTCAATAGGGTTTAGATTTAAGAGGCTTGGAAAGTCATCAAAGTGGCTATTGAGTTATTTCGATTTTGATTTTTAATATTGAATTTTTTCGTTATGAATAGTGAGAAAAATTGCTCAAAAAATCATCTCAGTACATATCAATTCAAGCGATTCTCACTCAAGCGAAATCAAACTCATACAGCTAGGCTTTTGCTATAGAAATCAGGTGCTTTTTTAAGAAAAAGAATATTTTTTTTCCTTCTGAGGTTTTTGGCCATTTGTAGCTCTTGCACTGTTAGGGCTTTTTGGCAAGCTACCAGCTGCAAGTTTGGGCCTTTGATTAAAGGCATGACTGCCGTTTATATTGAACAAGAATAACTATCAAGAAAAACACTTCTAGCACTTACGAATAATTCTGTTAAAATATATGGTGTTGTTTATATATGTAGCCTTAGAAGTAAAGCATTAGATAGATAAACTCGTCTATTTCGATACGCTATAATATATATATATAGCAAGCAAAAATGCGTACACTGCAACGGCTCGTAAAATGAAAACAACGTTTCTACAACACGACTTCGTCATTCGCATACCAGGCCAAAAAACGTGTCAGGAAAAAATTAATCTGATCTATTTCTGAGAAAAAAATGAATTACCGAATGGACTTTTCTTCGTTTTCTAGATTTTTTTCACTAGAGGTCCACGTCTCTTTGAAAGCGATTCGCATTAATCGGGTCCAATGAATCTTTCGGGGACTAAATCATCGAATTCTATAGAGAGTCCTATAGAAAGTTCTACAAGACAAACTAGGGGTAAAAAGATGCAGTGATCGTTCTATTTATTCCAATGAAATATAGTGATTTCAGCAATAGCAACCCTGTACGAGCGCGAGCGAACCGAGGGTGTTGCTGAATAGAAATGAAGTGGCGACATAGCGTATTAAACAAACTGATTTCAATTATATGTAAGCCGTATGAGTATGCAATGCAGCATACCCTTATAACCAGGATCGGTTTAAACAGAAACGAAACATTTGAGGGCCTTGGAGAAATTCTCTATTTTTCTTTTTTTGCTATTTTATTAGATGCATTATGCCCTGTACGTTCAGGCTTTAACTTGGCCTTTTTTCCATACGAATCTAATACTATCTTTTATGTGACAGCCACACCAGAGGATTTCGTTCCGGTATTATTACTTTGCTCACTTTTAGGTAATTTAACTTCGGAGATCTGGATGACTCGCCTTTCAAGACTTCCATGAGCCAGTCGGTTTGCAGTACATTAATCCGAACTCGATCCTCCAGCATGATAGGTGGCAACGTAACCACTACACCATCTCCTAATACTGACAAAAAATGTGCTTTAAACATATAGTACGGTGACAAAATCAAAAATGTTTTTTTTTTTTCTATTTTCAACGTCACCACTAAACAGCGTGGGCCGGGTTCCTGTGATGTTCGTGACGTATGCGTTGGCAGGACTCACTGGAATTTTCACCTACTTCAGCGGAGGTTCATTTGAGCTGTTTGTAATCACACGGTTCGTCATGGGATTTGTTCTGTTGTCGATCAGTATCACACCTTTTGTACTCGGTATGTATCTAGATGTTCAAAAGTTTACATCAGTACGATTCACTATGGTGTGCAATCCTATTGTACCGGTAAAAACAATGGAGTTTGAACCAGCCCGCACAACATAGTGCGTTATCATTTTATACTGGTTCGGTTATTTAGATGGATCTAGTTTCGCACACACTGAGCCGAGAGCAAACGCACTTTGTAAATTCACATCAATAACCACAAGATGCACATCGTACCAATGTAATTCAGATAAATAGATAAAACCAGTGCAAGAAGTACAGGAGACCCATTGGCCTGTTGTAATTTATTTCACTCTTAAAGTACCTTGAACGATCGTTACTAGACCTGCGTATTGGAAATGTTGGCGTTTCATTTAATATCCTTCTATCGTTCGACCGACGCTCGCTTTCCAGCTGTCGAATACGTTCCGAAGCAACGTCGGATGTTGGTTCTCTCGGCCTTCCGGTTCGTTTACCCTGTGGTGGGAGTTTTCGTACCCTGGATAGCGTACGCATCCGGGTACTGGCGTACGCTCCAACTGCTCAATGTTGTGCCATGCTGCATTGCCGCTCCCCTTTCCTACTTTATACCTGAAAGTTCACGGTGGCTGCTATCCAAAGGAAAACTAGAAGAGACCAAACAAATTCTTCATAAAATCGCTCGCTGGAATGGAAATAGAGTAGATCCAAACGCATTCGACACTCTCGAAGTGAGCATAATACGCGTTCCGTTATTTGCCTAATAAGCATAATGATAAATAATACTAAAAATAACAATAAAATGATGCCTTATTGGTTCATTTTCTACTCTATAGATGCTTTCTTCGAATTGGTCGTCTTTAAAATTAACTATCTCGACAAATAATAGGTGAGGGTACAATAGTACGATAATATCAGGAAGCGCTGTCTGCAAGGACACCGCTTTCATTTTTTCTATTCCCAAAATGTCGGTCCTCTTTTCAGGTCCACCATGGCAACGCGTTTAAAGGTGGTGCGCATTAGCCACTCAGATAAAGATATCCGATTTAATTTAGTGCTTCGTAAGATAACTGCAAGCGTTTCTCCGTAGACGGAAGTTTGTAGAGTAGTCAAAAACGTAAAAGATATGCAGATTCAATATCAAAGACAACTATGCCTCTAACTTTCGAAGCTTTAAAGTTACTGGAAGGGCCCACCGATCGGTTTCGGCTAAAATTCGTCATAAGAACTCAGTGTAGCAAAAAGGAGAGACATCTCTGAAGATTTGCTCTCTGCAGCAGTGTGCGGAGGCTGCGTGCACGGTGAAAACCCCATTCTAGGATGGGTTTGAAAAGCTAGCTTGGGCCGTGTATGTGTTTATCTAATTTATAGTAAAACGACTGACATTTAGTTGGTGTATTGTTATTATTATATGTTATGTATTTTCAGCTGCCGATTAGTGAAAAGAAAAATCAGATGAACGTGCTGGCTATCTGGAAGTACCCACGTCTCCGCAGAAATATTCTTCTCACCTTCTTTATTTGGTAAATTGAAATTCTCTTTCAATATGCTCAATTTCAACAGGTAGAGTAGGGTCTTCGTTGGCACTATCATCAAAGTTCATTTTATAACCTGAGTATTAACAAGCCACTCCCAAAAAAGTTCAAGTTTTTTTTTAAAGGTTGAGTTCAGGGTTTTTAATCTAAGTCTGTTCGAGTGACACTCTGTACCTAGGAGTCTAAAACTTTCGACACTATGCTTTTCAATGTATGTGTATAGAGTGAAATAAATGTTTGTGATTTCTGATTTAGGGTAAATGCATGCCTAGTCTACTCTGCCGGACAACTTTATGCAGCTCAGGTAACTCCCTCGCCCTTCTTGATGACATCAGCAACGAATGGAGTTGATATTTTGGCGACGGCTGTTGCGATGCCCTTGGCTGATTTTTGGGGGCGCAAGCCTTCTATGGTGCTGTTCTACATGCTGTCATCTGTAGCCTATTTTGTGATTGGCTGTCTGCCGTACGGTAAGGGGCGTAAACGTGCCAAGTTCAAGTGTATTAGTTGGTTGAGGACAATGCTTAGGATAATAAAATACTGGACCTATTCATGAAATTTCATTGTCTATCTTTTAAGCATTTTTGGAGAAAGGATAAATTGGCGCTAAGCTTGAAACGAAGTTGTAAACTTCGATATAGTTATAACATGAGTGTTCTGTGAATTTTATCACTAGGATAAAAGTGATCGGAAATAGTTAAGTATGTGATGAGTATACTAGGACAGATGTCCTAGTACAACATGAACGAGCTCGATGAAGGCAAAAAGGTGGTATTTTATGCTTGCGCGAAAAGCACACTCAGCCACGTCAATATGTTACACTAGGTTGTTCTAGATTGGGTGTATAATGGCGATGGGTAGAAGATAGACATTTTGCAATCTACAGAGAAGGAAACTAGGGCAATCAGTTAAATAACTAATTAAAGATCTAGTCTGATTCGTGCGTACGAAGTCGTTATTTGGTGTGAATGGCTCATTACTGTATCGTATATTTAGAAATAGAGAAAAACTAATTTTAGCATAATTGAAAATGAAAACAACCGCTTGCTTATTATATGATTTGAAAGCCAAATTCATACCAACCGTCTGAGTTCTTATTTCTGGATACGTTTACAGAGTTCACGATGATGTTCGTACTACTGATGGTAGGACGCTTTGCGTTGACGATGGCCTATAATGTTGGTTATCTTTATGCGGCCGAAATATATCCGACGGAAATACGTTCTCAAATCCTTTCTGTGCGTCAGGCATTTGGTTCAATTGGAAAATTTCTCAGCTCTCAAATCGTTATGCTGGTTAGTATTGTAAATAATACATAATAGGCATCACTAGAAAACAGCGGAACGGTCAGATTCGAACTGTATCAGTATATATATAAGAAAAATAGCATTTTCTATTTGGCTAAAACAGTAAATTATAGGCTCTAATAGATTACTTCACCAATTTACTCATCTCAAATCATATATCACGACATTACGTTTGATTTTGTCTGTGTTTGCGCTAGGCATACTACGGACCCTATATTCCTCTACTAATATTTGGTGGGGTGTCGGGATCGACTGCTTTAATGGCAATTCCTCTACCGGAGACGCTTCACCAAGATCTTCCAGAAACACTTGAAGACGCGGAAAACATGACTGGTAGGACCTTAACATTTTGATTCCTACATTGTGTAGCAGTTCGTCTTTAACCCGAACTCAGTTTTATTCCCGAACGCGCCATCTCTTATTGATCCATTGTTCGACACTCAGTTTACTAGAATTTGTTCATGAACCTTAATTTAACTAAGCAAATAATGATCTTTATCGGTGCTGCCTATTATCCAAGGATTTATTTTTCATTACGAATACAACACATATACTATTTATAATTCTTCGACCTCTCGAAATTGGTGCAAGAAAAGGAAAGTTTCTCTTGGAACCAATTTTTATAACCTTATAAGATTTGCTATATGTGTCTCGGACTAAATTCATTAACATTCTTATTAGAGCTTTTCTGTAAAACGCTAGTGAGGGCAGAGTAGGACGAGGAGCGATAGGATTCAACTTATGATGCTAACAGAAAACGGGCATATATTTGGAAAGTAAATCCGGACGGGGCTAAATTAGTCGGGAACTGCTGATAAGTATTATAAGAAGCAGTTCTTCTGAGTCATAATTCCTAGAGAGATACTTAGATTATCAGATTTAGTATGTAAATGACGGTAGAAAAAAGATAGAAGCTAGGCACAGCCTTTAAAACAATGAAGGCTAGAGACTGGATCAAGCTTTATTTAAAGCTTAGAAGTAAACAAAACTATCGTTACTCGTACATAACGATATGCATTTATACGAAAAGAGGGAGCGCCACTGTTCTGCGCGATTCGATGTACTTCCATATTCCGTTCTATTTATTTTGATTTCGCAGAAACTGACAGCCGAAAAACAAATAGCTTACTGTTGAATGATCTCTACTGATCATTATTAAATGTGAATCCATTGTCGTGATCGCACTCGCCCCGATGGTCAGAGCCAATATGGAAGCATCGTCGTACGCGACTGCAATTGTCAGCTAGCAATAACAACTTTCTCCATTTTTCAAATTGTGCTTTACTTTTTAGAAGAGCCTAATATTTTTAGTTCCAGTCGACTTTGGCCTTAATAAGTTCATCTTGATTGTTCTATGTCTGCTTTTCGGTACAGCATAAAACCCATGGTTAGAAAGTGATCAGCCGGTGTTAAGGGTAACGGCACCTGGTTCTCTTAATGTTTTTAGAACATAACTCATTTAATATTACTTTACGGACCGTAGCAAATAGGCTTAACAATGATACATAAACTAAAATTAAGCATGATTTTATTTTTCAAAATTTAAGCAATTAAATTTCCTATACGATACCAATTCTTGGTATAGCCATATATTTAAACATTTGATCATATCCAAATGATGAAACGGAATCAACACTGCTCTGCCCACGCATCGATACAAATGAAACAATTGAAGACTTCTTCCGAAGAAAAGAAAACGTTCAGAATCTATATGTAAGTGGTTGTGCTATTTTGGCTTGTCTTTGCACAGAGACGCAGCGTATCAACTTGATAATTGTAATAGGTAATGGCAGGTAATTATATATACACCCACTTCAAGCCCTTGCAGCGGGACAATGTTCAACATTTGTTCATTATTCAATCAGCCTTTCTTAACTTATGATTTGTAAAACCTTGTTTTAGGTTTGCCAAGAAGCTGCGTATTCGCTTGTCCTGGAGCTCCTCCACCAGAAAACGTTGAGGGTGCAACTGGCGTTTCGCCAGCAGTCAGGCACCGAGCACGCACGCTCTCTGCAGTGTCTGCCGCTACCGTGGATTCAACATCGCCGGAAATGTAAGGATTTTTCAGAGCTCTAGTTTCGGGCGTCAACAACAGAAGCTGACAAGCGGACGTAGCCACCCTCATGCTGCCTCAGCAATCTACACGCAACTCCTCCAAACACCAACCTGCCGAAAATATTTGTGATAATGAGCTTTCAGAAAAACTGCATTCCTACACAATTTTGTCAGCTATATTGTATCATTTGTTAGTGTTTTCTAATGTTTCTTTATAGGATCCACAACCACGCTATAAACAGGTGAGCGCCATGATAGATTTTAAAATAATGCGACATACAATTGATAATTGGCTCGTTTCGATCATATAGACATCGTATAAGCCTTCTTAAACGGTCTTAACATCAAAGAGCGAATAATTTACGACTGAAGTTTATATATATGGGTCCCAGTCATACATGGATGCAACGTAATGATGTAATTCTTATAGCTTGGTGGGCCTCTCGTGCAGATTTAGGTTTTCTATTGTTTCGAAGTTCTTCTGTCGCATCGCTCTTAGTTGGATTCTTTAGTTATATGAGGTAAAAACGTGTACTCACATCCCTGTACATAATGTACTATAAAACGAATAAATTTCTACATACTAAGTTGCAGTTTGCTTATGAATGGTAGTGTATAACAATGTGCTTTTTGTGAGTAACACTTATATTAACAGCAGAAATAAAAATAATCAAGAAATAAGTTTATTATATCGCAACATTATTTCAAAGTACCTAACCTCAGCTCGCTTTTCCGGTTGCACGGTTTCAGCCTTTCTTATATATAAAATAGCACCTATTTGGCATCTCTTATAGCAAAGTCAGTCGAAACCAATTTTTCTTTTACATCTTACAAGGTACCACCGGTATCATATTAATTTGAAGTCGTACAAGGGAACGCACACATTTCTGAACAGGTGAGTACACGTTTTCAATTCAAATCGGCTTCTGTTTGGTCGGCCTATGAAAAGGTAACTCTAACGGCATCTGGCTATGAAAAGATTCTCGGAAAGGAGATCATGTAAGTGCCTCTGTCCAACTATCCGATATTTAGCGAGAAAATCTGCAGGAAAAATGTCGGATCGGTGCAGAGACGTCAGATCATCTGATCAGTGAACTGTGTTGGTAACTATAGTAAATGCATGCAGTTGCTAGCATCAAATCACATTAGTGCGCTCGATAAAGCAGCGCCACACAAAAATAGTTTATTTTTATCTTTTTTAATATCGCCAATCCTCTAGATCTCAGACCTGAAATTCTAGAATTACCTTTCGTAGTCAAGGTGTACTGTCTAAAAGCACGACCAGGTATCGTTTAGTCATCTCAATCAGCAAAAAAAGAGAGAAAAGCCATTGGTTTCCACCCGAGCGTCATTTAAGAAGTGATCATTCAATCGACGGATTAGAATTGCGCTAGCTTACTAACGACGGCCCGAGTATTTGAGCACCGTGGACATATTTACGACTTAGTCATGTTAGGGACATTTTATAGCTTGACTTTGAAAACGCATCGTCGCCTCTGTTATTCTTAGTTCAGTGGGTGTGTCTTCGGGTGCTTTTTAAAAGATCGAAGTTCCCTCCTTCTTCCTCCCAGCTTCAATGTGTGTGCCCTGCTCGATCACGTCTCAAAAGAGCAGATCAATAATGCCTGAAAAGTTAGCACTAAAAATGACCGCTCACGTAAGTAATACTAAAAGAATACTGAAAAATCAACGAACAGTAAATCTCAATTTAATTACACTTGTTTGTGCTATAGTTTCCCCCTCGCCGTTAAAGAATTAGTAAGCTTTTTACGGCGATATTATATGGATAGTCACGTCATTTTTCAAAAATTAAAGTTTTAACTCTAACGATAATGGCATTATCACTATGCCTCATTTGTCTTGAATAATCGATGGAAACTAAATTTTTGTCGTACTGAAGCGTGCAGCCACGAACGTGGGTTTCTGGTGCCGGAATATATAGGCGCCCCAATCGCAAGAAGTTAGATTGAAAATTAGCTTGCTATTACTTTGAATCGTCGATGAGCAAACTGTAAGGATACAAACCGTTGTTCGTCTTATCAGAGAGAAGAACTATTTTCATATTAACGTGGTAGGGCACGATGGAACAAATATATTAGCATAATTGTTATAGCGTAGACATTTTTGGCAAAGGAGACAGGTACAAACAGTTTACATCTAATCATGCGTAAAAGTACTCTTAGTAGCGTAAGTGTGCGGCACTATAAAAGTTCATTTAAGCGCAGAACATCTTCAGTAACGTAAATTTCGTCTGCTACTAATAGGCAAAGGCGCTGATAGATTTAAATTTCTTTTAAGGTGCATTTTTCTTCCGTTGCTTTCTGACTGCAATAGATTATAACGAATTTAGAAGCACCGCAACAACGACTCTATTAGAATCAACTCCGTCCCTAAGGGAAATCTGCAGTTGACTGAGGACCCATGGCTATTAGAGCAACAAATACAATTCCCATACTGTAAAAATTTGTGAAGGCAAATAGTGCACATTCGAATAGCACGACAGCCCTACAATGTGTTACACGACGCACATACAAGAATCGATTTTAAGAAGCTTCGGCTATGCAAGTAGGCACAAACTAACGATGTTGACATAAAGAATAAAAACATGGAAATTGACGAAAGTACGAGAAATGAAGAAGACATTACGCCTTTAGTGGAAGTTTGGTGCAAAACGTGTTTCGGTAACACGAAAAAAAAAGAAAATTCCGACCAAATATTTTGAGCTTAATAACTTAGAGTGATTCTCATATGAAGCTTGAACGTAGGACTGTATAGCTTTACGGGATTTAATCACAGTTGAAAACGACAGCAACTCACGCAAACGCAACGACAGAGGCTTACCTTTCCAAGAGAGTCCTTTGTATACCCAGGTTTCCTATATGCAATAGATTATGTTGTAAAATCGTTCGCTCAAGCAATTCCCTACCATTGTCTATAGGAAGCCCGAAAAGATATGTTACCAGAGTAAACACAAGGAAAGTTAGCCATACATAGATAAGCATATATCCATATAGACGGCATGTTATTCCAAGCGGATGCTAATCTAAAGGGCATATAAGCTTTCGTTTTTCCTCACTATTTCGCACACTACGAAGCGTTACACCACATTCATCAATCTTCATTAATCAATTTTGCTGCTATCTGCCCATTACTTCTATTAAGCTGCTGCTAAATTCGAACGTGAGCATTTCGACGTTGATAGCGGAGGTAAACAAACTGATTTAGAAACGCTAAAATCGCGAGGGGGCATATTAAGTTGGCTGCGATTTCGTAATATTGCGGGGGCACCACTTGCGCCCTTCGCAACTTCAATGCACTACGTACTTAGCTAAAAACATGTAAATGAACACTATCCGTAGACATAAATAAAAACCATCAAAGTCCCTGATGTCTCCACATACGAACACTGTCCTGCGTAAATGTATACTCGTTTGGGTTGTAAGGGGTTTTCAACTTTAAATAAATTTAGTAGATAAAGTAGAGCTTTGGCATTGGAAAATATGCGTTAGGCTAAGCTAATACTATCACTACAATGACACGACAAGAAAAATCGCTTTAGAAAGTACTGAATAGCGCCAAAGTGACCTTATTTTATATGCGTCAGCTAGTTTATCTATATTTCCGAGTTATATAATTTGGATCGAACTGGCTTATATAATTTCAATGAAATACAACAATTTGCCAACTCTTCTGGCTTCCACGATTCTTTGAAAGTTCCATAGTTAATTGTACTTTTTAATTACGCCAATTTCATGCACATTAGTTAGTCTGCGTTTGGTCTCCGGGTGCAGAAGTTTGGCCATACTAATTGTGGCGGGTGCGCTCATAAATAAAGTTATAAGGAACTGCTGAGCCGAGATACTGACTAAAATCTATGCTACCATCGCCGAACCTGATATAGTGGCAGGCGCGCCTATCTTCATAGCGCGCAGTTCTGATCGCTTTATTGATAGAAGGAAGGGTTTTATCGTCATTGGAGCTTCGATGTTATAGAAAAGCAACATGCTTCTAATTGTGCCAATACCTACAGGGATGAACCTAGTTGAGAAGGACTGAAGGAGATTCAATAATACTAATAACAAAATTAAAAACTCGAAGGATTAGGAGTACGAAGGATGTTTACAATAAACACATTGTAAAATGTTATATAATACAAGAAATTGCCGTTTACCTTCCCTTGGATACAGACCATTCCAAGAAATATATTTGCCAATGCATTGGTTGTTGTGCCTATCGGAGGAAGCTTTCGAGGGATAAAAACAACCGTTGTAGAACTCCGCAAACATGCGAGATTTTTACAAAAAAGCAAAGAGGAAAGACACCACCGGGAAAACCTGTATATGATTTTAGAAAATTTCATAAACCAAAAAGCCACCTAGATCAAAAACACTTCGCGTCAATTCTATGAGCAGTTCTTATAATGTTTCAGTTTCACTGTACCAGTATAACGTTCCAGAAACAGAAATCATAACAGAATGTTAGATTTGAAATAAAAAAGAGTAAATTTTCTATTAATTTTTTTAACATCTTTTTAAAGGAACGGTGTTTTTAGACAATTTCGTCCTAAACCTAGAAGTTACATTCTAGTACACTTTACTTCAAACCCTCCATTTCTTTTCGAAAACTACCTGTTTCTTCACAAAATGGTAATATGACAAAAGACAGCATGACAGAAAATGCTGTCCCAGAAGTAAGCATGCCGTTTCGAAATTTTACTTAATGAAAACGACAGTCTGATATACTCGTTAGCTTCGAAATTGATACGTTTGAAGGGCGTTTCGTTGTAATAGTTGGTCACGAGGCATACGATTTTCCGTGCGCTTCTTGCCCGCGAGAACGAAGCGTGGTGAGTTTCTCTTGAATAATCCGAATGGCACATTTATATGTGAAGTTTTAGAATCCGAAATCTGTTTTCCTTTTGTTTTCCACATCGTTTTATACCGCACTATTTTGCCCACTTTATCGAAATGAATCATTTTCTAAATGATAAAGAAAATTATCAGATGTTACAGTTTTCTCATTAGCCAGCTTATAAAGAGAATAATCTGATGATTCTGGGATACTCTGAACTCTCTAGGAACTTTCCTTAAGTCAAAAACGTTGCAAATGTGTGGGCACATCTATCTAAAGTATCGGTATGAATCGATCGGTAACATTCATAGCTTGCTTACAATACCGGGCTTACTGGAATTGAATTTTTATTGCAATCTGCTGCCTTAAAAAGTTTGTGCTATCTAGAGTTAGTTAGAAGATTTTTGTACTTAAGCAGTACTTAATATACATGCTTCGAATGAACCATCGAGATTTTAACTAGCGCTACGCAAGCCATTGCCGTTCTAAAAGAAAGCGCAATTTCATAAGGGTCACCGTACAGAATATGATTGCAGCCATATACATGTAAGTGTATTATCATTATTATTTATTGCTTGGCGTGGTGACTTAGCGGGAGAGCGCTTTAGATATCCTCGGTTTAAGCCTCTCCATCGAACGCATACATAATCTACGCAAAACACATTCATATGCAGAAGGGTCAGAGCTAAATAGAGTAACACAAAAGTAAACGATACTCACCCTCTCTCTTCAGTTGCCTTGCCATTCACGGGATAACCAAATACGAACGTTGTCCTCTTATTGGAAAATATCAAAAAAGATAATATTTGAAGTTGGGTAACGCAGCGATCGAAAATCGTAAAAATAGTATGGCAATTCTATTATAACCTTGACAGGTACGGACGGAATCTGGTGCAATCTGTTGATTCAAGCCAGTCATACACTACGCTAATGTAACTCAAATCAATAGGAAATAACACACTCGGAGAGCATTATCCCGAAACTCCTAATTTCATATGAAGCATAATGTGCTACTTTATTGGTTGAAAAAAAACAAGCATTAAAAGTAACAAATTTCTTGACCTTGCCGCTAAGAGGGTTGAGCACTTCCCGATCCACATTAGTACGTAGAGCGAGAACTGCCCTAAAGAACTGGAGAAACAAAGAGCACCGTTTTTGACGCCACTTCACCTTAAAGACGTTGTTGCGTAATGGGAAATTAGAGCAAACATCTTGAAGCGAAATTCGACTAGTACGGTGTACTAGGATAAATTTTGTTTGTTCCGATTTCGATATTTCAAAATATAGTAATTAGAAACAGTTTTCTTTCTTTTATAAAAGGTTCTGCTGCGTTAAAAAAGGGGCACTCATTTTTTATTTCTAAGTCGAATTCCATGACACCAAAGATTTACGACGTAGCAGTAAAGAGAATATTTTATCTCGAAGCCTATTAACAACAAAGACACTTAAGAAGGTCCGTTTTCAAATTGAAAGCAGCTATGCTGGCAGCCGTATTGGAGTAGACCTCACTGATAATGAAAGTTTTATAAAGTAAGTCCCCGTGATAGCTTCGTGAATAACATATGTTGATAAATACTAATTGTAGGGACACGTTCTGGTCTAGATTCGAATGCATAACGGCAGTTGAGATTTCTGTAAAAACTGTTAGCTTGGCGCTTGGCAACCGCTCGCGTGATTGCCGCTCCGAGACACCACAGAACCCTCACCCTTAAATATTGCTTTAAAAACACCCAAGCATACGTTACGCCATCTGGTGACTGGAGATAGGGAGAAAAGAACACAGCATCTGATAGTAATTTATATTGTGCGCTGTTAGCCTAATTGTTAGACCTAATCTATCCCAGGAACGATCCAACGGACGAACGAAGACCTCGATCATCAAAAAAAATGACAGCACTAGAAAGAGTCACAATAGTTACTATTGTGACTCTTTCGCGCATTTTAAATGGTTATTCTAACATACCCACCCTGAACAGTCGCACCCATAGAAGTCACGACCCTTGCAAACTGTGCGTTCAGACCTCTGAGTTATTAACGCAAAGAAACACGAAGTCTTGAAGTCATAATCTACGTGGGTGAATAAGCAAAGTAAAGCGGATATCTTATGTGTAAATGCAATATATAAAACAAGATTATACAAAACACGATTTTTTAATGATGAAACATGACATATTAATTAATAATAATAACAATAATTTAAGTTTATGAAGATCACTTGCTCTCTGAGCTACGGACGGGGACGTTCCATGCGGACTGAAAGATTCCACTAAAATATTAAATTTTTCACACGGAAACACGAAAACCACGAATACAATCACAACGATATCATTATGTCATTTATTAGTGGCATTTTCGTAAAAAGAAACAATGCAATTTCCTGTTGGAGTTAAAGTTACTGATCGATTACGGTGGAAAACATATTCGTTAGACACCGTTTGTAGGGTCCTAAATAAGGCTTCGCTTGTTGTTAAATAAATAAAAGTAAATAATATATAGATAATAGAAAATGCACAAACGAATCACATACTCCCAATATTGAATTCCCCTTTTCCGGTCTCCCTTAAAAATTCAAAAATGTATTCGATCCACCTTAATATTGAAAGGCGTTACGAGTAGATAATACGGGTAGAGAGATTTTAGGTGACTATAGCGCACGGTGAGCATTCGCCTGATTTTGGTATTATATTCCTTTGTTCTAACAGCCTCAATGACTTGAGAAATAATAACACTAACCTCTTGAATCACACACATCGTATTTACTCGTAATAACACTCAAGCGAACGATTCTAGTTCGCTCAGTCAAAGAGAGTTTCGTATCCATCCGTTCCTTGATTAACCTATTTTTTTGACGACCTCACTCCTTGTTTACTACTGTGTAACACCTATCTTTCAGAAAAGAATAACTGTTAGTTTCTATTATGATGTTTGAAAAAATAGCGAATTAGGCTGCTGGCGAAAAAATTAACTTACCAGTATTTACGATTGGCAATCGGACATTTCTATGGGGCTGGTTTTCTAATGCGTTTTGAGAGGTTTATACAGTGATGGGAGACATGGAACATCGACGATTTCGATGATAACCGCCAGGAAATACATTCCCTTGCACCATGCAGGATATTTAAATGAATGAGTACGATACCGGTAACTAGATAGGCGTTGTAGAACCAAAGCATCGTCACCAGCATCAAACGAGCTAACGTAGATACTTCTGGTATGAACTGAACTCAAAAGAATCTTTAATCAGTATATATACCCCATAATTTCAAACAAGTAGTGATATTGACATGAAAACATTACATCATACACAAAGTATGCTCATCGGCCTATGGCGCACCCATAAATATTATTAATAAAATCAAATTTCTCTTTGACTTATTTACAGAGCGAGCGAAATAAGCAGCCTGTGCAATTTTATCTTAAAGTACGGCACTAGGCTATCTAAAAATACCAGCTACCTTACCTTCTCCGGTGAAGCTGCATAACTTAGTGGAAAATCAAGTACTTAGTCCTAAGTAGTGTTTGTCCAATACTTCATGTAAATAAATACGATGTAATTATATAGAACTCGAGGAGGTCGCAGTAAGTAGATTAAGTGTAGTTATTCTAACCGAATATAATGTATTGAAAATGAAACATAACACAAGTTACATATTACGATGTTTAAAGAACAATTATCTACAGAAGACTAGTTTAATTTAAGGATATCAACCAATGATTGTCAACTGAAAAAAAGTTGCGGAAAAGCGAATTACGGGAAAAAAGATAGAATTCAATGAAAACACTTAAAAGTAAATGTAAAGTGTGCTGCAGAAAATTGTCAAATAGTAGGGATAGCAGAAAATGTTTGTAGTTATAAAATAAATAACACAGATCTTTCACATTCAGCGTGTCAACGTCTAGGCTTTTTTTCGCACCGGCACACATCACAGCTACGTTCGTCCGTTCGAGTGCGGCGCGCGTTTGCTTAGGTCCGCATGGTTTCCATGGTAGGTTGGATACAGTAAAGCCTCGGCTGATTTTTGCAGGACTAGTTGTGATTTCTTGAACTGGTCGGACATAGTGTGCAGTCAATGCGTATGAATCCATACGCGTCTTTCCTACAGCGTCCATATCGTCGCTTCCCACCAAGAGCTGGTTAGTTAATGCGTTATGACCGATGCACTGAGGGTGGTATTTTTGACAGCAGACGTACGGGTTGGTGGATCCACGTTGAATGCCATCGCTTTCAAGTCAACACAATTGCGGTCTCCTATATAGGCTCTCCCTCAGAACAATCACAACCAACGGCTGAGTGCGCTTGTCGAACCTAGTGTCAGGACCATTCGGCGTATAATTTCAAAATATTCGAACTAAGTCGATGCATAAGTCCACGCCAGCCGCTGTAATGAAATTTGAAGAAGTAACCGATTTTACGGCTTTTTTAACGTTAGTCGTCAACTTACTGTACTCAAGCTTGATCCCCAGCAGTAGCGGTTTAGTACACACACACACACACATTTGTTCAGACGACTAGGCTTTTTCTGAAGGGAAGCGGTCCTACAGTTTTTCGGCCACGAAACCGTGCTTTGTAGTCGTGTTGCACGTATACAAATTCGATCGCACTTGGTGTGTCCCTTGCGAGTACTATCGTACTCTCGATACTATGTGGTCGATCGACACCGTGCGATCTTCGCCCAGACGTTCAAACTCCTTTGCTCAATTCGTCAAACACCAATTCTTGGCCTAGTCAGCCAGACGGTCTACTCGTCTGTTTACTATTACATCGCCGCCACGAATATATACTCGTATAAATCTATCTGTAGTTTCCTTTAAAGAAGTGTTTGTTGGATCGGCCTACAACGCGATGATTAGAACCGCAACTTGTTGTAAATGGTACAAAAGAAGTACTTCATTTATCACCACTAATAAGCTAACGCGAAAAATCTTCCACTTTTAGTAACTACGTGGAGAGTTATGCCATTGACAACATGACATATTCTTCGTATACACACATTATTCTGTCTTATATACTCTTCCAGGAATGAGGACCATCATTTTTGGACTAGAGAATCGCTTTTATGTAGAACACATACACACACACACACATATATATAGATATGTATGTATATATATATATATATATATATATATATAGAGAGAGAGAGAGAGAGAGAGAGAGAGAGGAGCAATGATTATCTTTTGCCAGCCCAGATTCACTTTGAAGATTTCACCGTAACAATGACAGCCTATCCTTTCTAAAACAGGCATGCTCCTTTCATGCTGGTAATAAGCCTTCCTGTGTAATCTAGATGCAACTCCAAAAGTATCACTTATTGAAATTATTTAAATGAAGTCCGCCAAATAAAAATGGATCTATCTCCCGTGTATCTTAAATTGAACAAGTTAAAAAACATTCTTTCACGACCTGCTTATTTTTTTCATAGAGTTTAATTAGAAACTGATTCGAGCTTCGTAACTCAAATTAAAGATTCGAACTAAAGAGTGCATATAAAATATGGTCGGACTCGCTTTGATCTATAAAGCAAAGCATGAGATTTTCAACATTCTTATACTTCACAAGATCGATGCCTGTTATAGTAGCGAAGGTGGACAATACTGCACTTTTTGAAAGCTCACCGAATTAGTTTACCTCTAAACTTACTTACCAATTGAACGTTTCTGAACAGACTAGTATATATCAAGTGTATTTCTCGTAGATATTCATTTGTAAGTATCCTAAAAGTTAACTATCATTTCTAGTTCAAATTAAAAAATCAAAAAATTATTTATGGAAAAACTGACCACACGGACCGAGAACTATAAAGAAAATATGCCCTCAAACATGATAGTATTTCAAATATCGCAACATTTTATTGTAATTAATTAAAAGCCGCAAGATGGTTCTCCGATATGGCATATTTATTTCATTGAAAGTTACAGTTTATGAAACAAGTAAATGTTTATCAAAAGTAGATTTTATTGCTGATTCTTATTCCAGCATTATTATAGAGATAGATTTGTACAATTTGACTACATATTCAACTTACAGTTCTTTTGCAGATGTAAAACATCAACAAATTTTCAGTTAAAACGGCCAACAGGCTAGTTACTGGCTTAAACAAGTTCCTTGTTATCCTTATATTATCGACAACTGGCAAAATCATTTCTTATTCCATTTCATTTTTGCGTACAAAACACTTTCTAAAATATGAAGATTAACCAGAGGCAAGGAGGTCATACCTTTGGTTTGAATTATCTTTCTTAAGATTCATTCAGCAAACCAGAGGTTTTATTCGTAGATAATTTACCTCTACAAGGGTAATTTGCCTTTAATATAACTTTTATAAAGCCTTAATAAAGGCCAGTCGATCTCTTCAGGAAGTTGTTCCTTTATATTGCTCAACGTGGCATTTTCACCCAACTGAGCCCAGATGTCTTTCACCAATAGGCATTGGTCGCGGTCAAATCCAAGCCGTTCTACGTTTATAGACACCCCATTAGCCACACAGTCAGCAAGATGCCCAAAGACCGTACTAGGCTTCAATCCTAGCTGATTCGCAATTTCTGACAGCCCATAATTTTGTGAGAAAAGCATGAATGACCGAATCGCATTTTGAGGAACATTTGATGGAATCTCGGACAAAGTCAGCGTTTTTGCGGTATCTTTAAATGTGCTAACTTCATTAACTGAACAGAACTCTTTCACAGCATCTACAATCGGTTGACCAAACTTTTTGGCCTTATTTCCGGACACCCCTGGCAGTTCTTGCAATTCAGTAAGGGTTTTCGGACAATTCTCTGATACCACTGACAATATTTTATTATCAAAAATACTAGGCGCTGGACAGTCATTATCTGTAGCCAGATCGTTACGGATATTTACAAGGCGGTCGTATAATGACTTTTGGCGAGGGTCCATGATAGAAATAGTATTGGCAACTCGTCGCTCCATAATCGGTGTATTAGAGGAACTAGCAGCAAATACAGAGGTGCTACTTATAGGTCGGCCTCTCCTTTCCTCCAAAGCCTTGCGCATTGGCTGATTAGCAACTAGCAAGAGTTTTTTGTTGCTATTCAACCACTCATGTGCCTTCTGAGTCAAGCTTACGACTGTGAGTACATTTGTAAAGAACTTGTTAGAGTTAGGGCCGAAAAATTTTTTTGAGGCTGCATTATTAACTTTAGCCGTAGTCTCACTAATGAAGCCTTCTGATATGAGCATAGTTCCAAGGGCCTTCCAATATTCCTGAGATTTATTCTCACCGGAACCGTACGATTGTTTTTCCTTCATCCAGTCTTTGACTCTAACACTTTTGCTGCCACTCAAATGAAGCACAACTAAACCCAACCCAGATTTCTCACCGAGTTGTCGGATAGCTTTCAGCATCAATGTGGCGTCCGTTGTAAAATCATTTTTGAGCGTGTTTAACTTAGAACTGCCAGAAGATCTCTTTAAATCGATATCGCAGTTATCACAGCACATTGGCTTTATTTGCATCATTGAGGATTCCGAATAACTGAAATGTGATATAAGGGCCTTCCTGCGACACTTGGACGTTTCAAGATAGGTCTGCATCTGTGAGATCATATCACTTTTATATTGTAGAAATTTTGAATCCTTGATATCAGCAAGCCACCTTCGAGATGCCGTTAAATCCGCAGGCTTCCAGAATACGTGGCAATACGACTGTGCGCCATCGCGACCTGCTCGGCCAACCTCTTGGTAGTAGCTTTCAATGTCTTTTGGGGCTCCGTAATGAATAACCCTCCGAACGTCTGCCTTATCGATTCCCATCCCGAATGCCACCGTTGCAACAATTACGGACATCCGTCCCAGGGAAAAGGCTTCATGGACTTTCCTCCTCTTTGCGGAGCTCATACCAGCGTGGTAAGCGATTGCGTCGATATTATTCTGACGCAGAAAACGACATGTGTTTTCTGTCGATTCTCTTGTGGGACAGTACACAACCGTTGTTTCGTCAAAACTTGTTAGCCGTAGCAGATCGTTCTCAGGTGTAGTTCGTGGCCGGACCTCTAAAAAAATATTTGGTCTGTCAAACTGGGTAACAGTGATCCACGGTTGAACAAGATTTAGCGACTGCTCAATATCGGACTGCACTCGTGCGGTAGCGGTAGCAGTTAATGCCATAAATGGAATTCTCTTAAGTTTCTTTCGGACGGCGCCAAGATCACGATATGCCGTGCGAAAATCATGTCCCCATTGTGACACACAATGAGCCTCATCGATGGCCACCAGACAGACCCCGACAGAGTCGTGCAATCTGGATATAAAATCAGTTCGTTCTGAAATATATTCGGGAGTAACGTACAAAAGGCGATATTTTCCCTGGAACAATCCTTCTTCAATGAAATCTTTTTCTGTTTGGTTTGACCCAAGGAATGCAGCTAAAATGTCCTGTTGCTCCAGCGCCCGTACCTGGTCCTCCATCAGCGATATCAACGGAGAAATTACTACAGCCAATTTCTTAAGATAAACTGGCGGAAACTGAAAACAGAGCGACTTTCCAGATCCCGTCGCCATGATCACGATGTTGTCTTTGTGATCTGTCAAAACAGAATAAATTACCTGAAGTAGAAACAAGACAAAAGAATAACTATTACATTTTAGCTACTAGATATTTGTGTTACGGCGTTTTGGACAAATTTTTCGCAGTGAGATCAGAACAAGGAATGAGCAATCGATCGAGCTTTCTTCATTAATTTACATAGTTCAAGCTGAAAAAGGATTATAAAAATCAATTTCCTTATTGGTTGTATAGTATGCACAGGTTGTATAGTATGTTGGTCAAAATAGTGTTATGAGAACTCTGAAAGTCTGACCTGCGCGTCGGATCTACTAATATAATTATGCAACAGTAATTCATTGAGCGACTTATGTGCAGTTCGTACTAATGCGAAATTTGTTTAAAGATCCAGGGCATTTATGATCGCTGTTACCTTACCACTCTTTTAAAAGTAGCGTGCTTCTTATATGTATCGAATAATTCATTTTTTGCGCATCATTAGCAAATACGTTCTAAGCTACTAAAACAGAGATAAACACTTAAAAATAATGCTTTATAAAGGAGCATTATTATTTTATTTATTGGAGAACTACGCTGCTCAGGCTAATCTAAGGGACATACATCTATACGTGTAAGCTCAACTAAAAATATCTTCACTGCTTATTATACTATACAGTGTAAGTAGGATGGTACAATTTTTGACCGCTTTTGCCTAAATATTATATGTTCACGAAATGTTAATAATTATTATAGCTAAGCGCCTCGTTTCAAAGCTTACTGTACCTTCCATTGAGCGTCTCTGAACTCATCATGGCCGAAGTGCTTTTTAAGCGTTTCAATATGCATTTTTCGAGGGGGTACCACTCCTTCAATATCATTGCATTTACGAAGATCCTCTGGCTGTTGTTCACTTTTAAAGATCTGCGATCTTTCCGCCTGAATAATTACGTACGTCGAGCATAACAAACAAATCTATAAAAAAACACGCAACTTACGTTTGCAGATTACATCAACACTCTTTGAAAGTTGAAAACATCATCTTGGCTGCAAAGTTGATAAATCACTTTAAGCTCAGTATATATAAAGCATATATATGTAAAGAATTCATTTTTCATTCTGTTTACCGCAAGATTATTCATTACAAATTTCTTTTAAGGAGTATAATAGGGCGAATTTCGACTGACGCTTGAATGCAGAATTGTTGAAGTTATATATTCATTCATATAAGTTATAAAAAAAATATACTTTATCGGGTTTAATCATGCGAACACATGTCCTGTATTCTGCTGTAATTATACTGAATGATTCAAATTTTTTTAAATATTATTATGATGCCATACCCTGCATATTCTAATTACAAAAGAATCCTTTCAAAGTTTTATCAGATTTTTGGTTCTATGAGCGACCATAGGCAACCCGTACGCTTTAGCTAGAAAGCCAGTGGGAGAAAATTTGTACGTTTCCTCAAACTCCAACATGTACAACAAGTACACAAATGGCGTATTTACCAATTACCGTAATTACTGAAGGACAATCAACTCGTTTCCTTTGGATTTTCTTGCGTCAGTGCAATGCATCTATGTGCTGAAAGTGTATGCTTATACATATGAAAAATCTTACTTCATCACAGATTGCGTTGAGTTCATCGTCGTTAAACTCGCAGTCCTCACTACTATTACCGTCATCGTTGCCGTTGTTCTCTTCTCTGTCCTCCTTCCTGTCATCATCGTCACCACGTATTCTGCCACTACGCAAGTCATTATCATTTTCAAGGTTAGTTTTCGGCAGCCGTTGGTTCTCTCTGAACTGTTTGTTTTTCATTGCCGACCTAACATTGCTGTCATAAGCAATCGCTGTCCCGGGTTCTCCTTCTACCGTTGATGAGGACTGTTTCTCTATGCTTTGGATTGCCCCTATTTGGTCCAGCCGTACCTTTTTTAACTTATTGCTGCTGCTAGTATAGTTATGTTTTAGCAGCAGTTCATCATCGTCATCACTTCCGACAAACACCTCACTTGTACGCTTTGATCTGCCGACCCAGATATTTGAAGCTTTACTTTCTTGCACTGCGCCTGCGACCTTCTAAGGTTAAAGCAGAAACAAAAATAAACACTACTTTTTTATTGACTTTATTTTCAGAAGTCTTTTTCCTGAAAATCGCCGCCTAGCCTTGTAAACAATGGTATGTCAATACCGATAATTTGAATATATATCTATACTGCAACGATCCGTCCATCAGATGAAATATGTCACTAGTATTAGGAAAACAACAACTCGACAATATGTGAACATTATTATTATACCTCTAATCGACATGTTATGTGCTAAAATATGTTTCATTTTGAGCTGACCTTGTATAAAGCAAAAAAGATCTAACTATTCTCATCAACTTTTGTTTACTTCCAAATCTATCGACCGGGCCCAACTTACCTCCTGCCTCATTTATAAAAGTACTTTGCCGTGAGACTTTGCAAAAAAAAAAAGCTCTAAGAGGAAGTGGAATATTCCGATTAAACAAAGACTCATTCACATATTTATTGACGTGTTCTCGCAAATCAAGAGGATTTAATGTTTTCTGCATTGAAAGTGATAATGGTCCTCCGATAACATTTTTCGTACCTACGGATATTGGCAGCTATTTGTCATATTTTTCTCCTTGCTTTGATAGATAAAAGGGTAACGTTACTGCTATTCCAATGGTTACAGTCTGACCATACCTATACATGCCAAGACGTGGTCGCTGTTGAAGAATCGATTTGGAGCTATTGGAAATTAGTCAAATACGAAGATATAGGATCGGCCGGCAGTCTCTAAATGTGAACGAATCAACTTGTGCAAAGTAAAAGGCAAGATTCTGTTCAAGCGATGGTTTTCAGGTGAAACTATGCTTATAGTTAGGTAACTCCCAACCGGTATACGTTTCTATGTGAACTTTATTCATATTTATGCATGCGGCTGTATTGTAAGCAAAGCTTTGAATACATCCAAATATGTACCTGTGTCGGGGTAGAGACGCCTTCAAAATTGAAAATTTCCTCTTTAGCACTTTTCAATAAGTCCTTTGCCTGTTGAAGTAATTTAAGTACTTGAGGCGGCTTATTCCTCTCACATTTTTCCACTGTCTTATGAAGCGAATGAAGTAGTGTTTCAATGTCCTTAAGCAGACTGCGGACCGTTGAGGTTTCTGACGACATCTAGTAACGAAAATACGAAAAGACTATTCTCAACATTATTGGCTAAGAAAATCAAACTCTCTTGTTATAAGTTAATGCTCTGATTACGCTTACAACTAAAGGTACTGAGAAAAGAACAAAATCATGAACGTTAACGACATTTGTTGTATATATTGCATTTAGAGCCCTTTGAAGCTCTGTGTGTTTTCAATATTGAAAGTTACTTTTTTCCGCAATAAAGAATGTGTCATTGCTCACGGAAATAATCTCTTCTGATATGTTGCTATAACCACAAATGGTCCCCTTGGAAACACTATTCTAAAAACAATTTTCGCAAGTTGGTGTAGATCCTTATTAATCGTAAATATTATTAAAAAAAAGCAACGTTAATATTATTATCTAGACTTTGTGTAAATATACCATTTTTGGCATACTCTCGAATGCCTAAAGTGATTCTCAGTTCACAGCTCTGGAGTCTCATTGAATACTAGTAGTAGGCGTAAACATTTATTTGAGACAATCAAGCAATTTAGCCATCTTATCAATTGAACTCAAACAACACCATGGTCTTTAGCATATTCTTTTTAACACATATGATTAAATACTTCATGCATCATTTTTATCAAACCTTTGATAGTTTCCTTAAGGCTCGTCACAATAAAACACGGATCGTTAATAGAAACTACGAAATGGTACTCCTTAGGCCTATACCCATTATATGGGCTAGTTTCACTTTTGCGCGCACATACTTTCGCTCTATTATTTTTTTGCGAGCTTCCGTTCGTTGTTTGTTGTTATTCTTTTGACGTTTATCTCCGTTTATGCGAGAGCCAAACAAGGGTTCGTCTGCTTAGACGGCGCCAAGCCCATCGAAGTCTATATGATAAAACCCCGCTAACAAAAATTTATTGAACATATTTATTGGATTATATGATTATAAATGATCAGCACTGTATAGCATCACGTTTCATTTTTTCAATACGTAAATGTATTAAAAGATTATTGCTTCCTTCCAGCAACAAACATCATTTGTTCACATTGTTAATACGTGCTTCTATAATCCCATGGTAGGTATAAGTAGAGTAAGAGTAAAAGTAGTTATTTCAGATCACTAGGATAAAAGATAAATTAAGTTTCATACTCGATTGCAGTACTTAATACAATCTACTTGTAAAGAAACAACCCAACACCACACGACTGGTGCATTTGTGGCATTTTAGTTTGCCTTTTTCTACCGCCAAGTGATAACTTAATCTCACTAGTCATTTGATGGTGCCACCCGGCGATAATAAATATATCAGATATTTTAGATTTAAATCCAACTTGTTTTAACTGTTAGGTTGATCTCTTACCTCTATACTGTGATAGTGTGCTTACTGTATTTCCACCTTTTACGTTTCAACCCCAAATGCGGCATTTTTAATCTTCAGACATACGACTTTCACCCAGTTAGGTTGACGAATACTTGCTGGGTTAGTTAACGTATTTCATTTTACACACACAACCAATTATGTATCGATATCAACCGATATCATATACTGTGTCGTGTTCGGTAAAATAACTATGATATACACTATTTTCTACATTAATTTTGCGTAATTAAGGTTTTTTCATATTCATACTATACTCATGAAAGTCGATAGCTCAGTTAACTGCCCCACTATACATGTTATAGGTACCTACTTTACTTATCTTTATTGTTATGATACTGTATATATCAAAATAAACGTGACTTAGAAGACAAAGGTAAACTTCGTCTGTTCTAAACTATCTTACATATCTAAATTAAGTTACGTTAAGAAATTGAGCCAATTGCAGATATAGATAACCGTATATAACAAAGGATATTAACAAGAACGTAGTTAATGCTAGAAAAAGACGCCAAGAGACGATCTAGCCCTATCGTTCTACGGATTTCTTTTTTAAACGATACCTAAATAAATACATTTTTTTAGTAAAAGGACTTTATTATTTTTAATCTGCAGTACTTGCAATTCGCCCACGCAAGTGACACACAGGCACAATGTCATCCGATTTCTCGTGAGGCAGCAGATGTTTTTACGATTAACCCTTCTTCTTGGAGACACCCACGGTGCGTCCGCGACGACCAGTAGTTTTCGTGTGCTGACCGCGCACTCTCAGGCCCCAAAAATGACGAAGACCACGGTGGGCACGGATCTTTTTCAGCCTTTCGAGATCCTCGCGAAGTTTGGAGTCGAGATTGTTAGAGACGACCTGTGAATATTTGCCATCGGCAATATCCTTTTGTCTGTTCAAAAACCAATCGGCAATCTTAAATTGACGAGGATTATTCAGGATGGTAATGATGGCATTCACTTCCTGTTCCGACAGCTCACCTGCGCGTTTGTTCAAGTCAATGTCGGCCTTTTTGCAGACGATATTGGCGAACCGACGGCCCACACCCTACACGAACAACAGATAATTTAGTTTATTCCAGAATTTGACGCAACAAAATCTAATGGTAATAAATTAGCTACGACATTCCTTGTGATGGTAGAACTTCTTAATGGTAATAAAACCAAACGCTTAGCAGTGCACAGAAATTTAAGGCAGATAGACAGAGCGCAGTGTTATAATAATACGGACAATCGAATTTGTACAACCAGATGATTTCACAAACTTTTGGATTTCAAGTCTAATAGTGTTAAACATTTTTGCAACATGTTTCAAACTGCTAGGATAATTTCTATTGGGGTGTTCGCAAAGGAGCACATTGTTAGACTAGCATATCTGACTTTATCGACTTCAGTAACTTGTATAGATTTATCTCCGAAATTTTGAGGTTTATAACAAACAGTCAGATAGCACCGTTCTCCGCCATACATTTGATGCCTACAGCAAAACCAACGTTACAGAATGCCATTGACGTGTTGTATTCGCATAAGGTAAATCAGTTGTTCATACGTAGTGAAAAGAACGCATCGAGCTATGAGACATCTAGAGGTCTCTACTTGATGCCAATACAACTTCGATGGTCGTGAAATGGCACCAGTATGAAGAACGACCGATTTTTGTCCGGTAATTACCCAACAATTTTTACATAAGCCAAAGACACTTTCGCAGTATCAACCACATCACTAAATATAGCGTGGCGACGGCCGCGTGGGTTAAGTGAGCCACGACCGATGAATTCGACCTGCTCCCCCACGATAGTTTCCTCACGTATATTTTGAATCACGTCTGCGTTTGACACACACCATATAACGTTCACTAACAGAATACACAAAAAAATACATCACTGAACTGAACGAATAAGCTCCGATTTGCGGTTCAATATACACATAATCTCATCTAACTTTTTGTATATTTTTGATTGAAGTTTACCTTAATTGATGTGAGGGCATACATGACCTTCGTTTGACCATCAATATTTGTGTTAAGAACACGAAGGATGTGTTGAAACTTTTCCGGAACTACGAGACTCATCGTGGACACGTGCTCACACCATAAGGCCCAACGAGAAAAGAATCACAGCACAGATGAAGACAGGCTTCGTATATTTGTGGAGGGGGCGGGCGGTCCGAAAGGCTAAGCCCGCGAAATTTTGAAAAATGTTCCAGGCAAAGCGGCCACGACGAGGGAAAAGGGAGCGGGTTAGAGAAGAACCTCATAAAAAACAACAACAGCAACAGCAACAACAACAAAAGCAAGTGGTGGTGTTGCTACTGCGGCAATGCTCCTTGTTACTAGGCGTTTATGTGTGTGTGTGTGTGTGTATATGGCTGTCCTTCGGCAAATCGAGCGCTTCTCCCGTTGACTGGCGCTTTTGCCAAACCGTGCAAGCGTCGAGGCCAATAATTCATGTTGTGGTGTTACCTTCTCGTACAATTTAGTGGAAAATAGGACCATATTTGTGGATATTTAACGTACAATCTACGACTATAAAATATTAGTGAGTATACATGACGTGAATTAACCTCACACAGAGAAAGAAAAAAGATCATGGTTCCCATCATTCCTGATCGTCTGACATGGGTGCCTCCATTCCGTCCATTGAAGTGAATTATGACTACATGTCGTCACAATGTCATTGAACATCGGAACTTTCACGCGGAATTCGATGAACTGCCGCCATTTATGACAGTTTCGCAACATAGTACAGTCTATGACGACCAGGGAAAACTGTAATGTTCGAAATAATGTTCACATCATATCTCTTTAATAGTTTGACTTTGAAGTTCGACCGTATAAACAACATAATTACATTTTAGGAATCGATGGACCATGCGCGAGTGAAATCGTGACTATCATCGATGTTAGTTTTAGTAGGATCAAATAAGGAAGTTCCTTTATTACTGAAGTACAGCACCTCATAGCAGCGCTTTTTCTTGTAAATGATGTGACTAACAAATGCATTACGAATTTTTTTACAAATGTCAATTCGAGTGCTTTGGATCCATAAGGAGGTATACGTGAACGAAAAGAAAGCGAATTATATATTTCGAATAATTTGTAAAAAGGTTCAAAGTATATCAGAATAAACAAAAGAATATAATTTCTCTCGAGAACAAGGCAATTGATATTCAAAGTAAATTAACCCTAATGAGGCGCGGACACTGCACGTATAAGAGTTATTGAATATTTGGGCTTATATTTTTAGGCAAGAACTGCAAATTCGTATTTTCATTGGATTCAACGTTACTGTGTGCTGCCTGTTGCAGGCGCGCGGTGGTTGCGCTAAAACGTTGGCTTTATAGGATTTATTTTTAGCACTCACTGACTTGCGACAACTTAGACAGCATAACATTACGATAAATTGGACTTTCTACATAATATCTGACCTATTTTTACTGTACTGACGTTAGGTTACTTTTACCATGATGTATCATATCCTAGCCAAGTCTTTGTCAATAACTCTAGCATCTTAAGACGGCTAATAAAAATACCGGCTGGATTGGCGTAATATCTGAAACTCCGCCAATAAATCTTTTCTTTATTTTTTTAGTATTAAGAACTGCTGCAGTTTTACGCAAATGATGAATATATTGCTTATTACTATCTGCAAAGGGCAACACTGAACTTAGTTTTAACCATAAGCCAACAAAAATGACGAAAAAAAACAACCGTTCAAAGAACCCTGCTTTCCGTATGTCTGCTATTGTAAGATATTTTTCAAAATTGAATAGATTAGACTTCTCTACTTAGTGATAAAAGAATCATAAAATATCAGGTAGCCTATAATATTTATACCGTAAGTTAATTGAAGCGTATTTAAGTGTTTTTGGTGTTTACATGACAAGCTTGAATTTTTTCTTCCTGTAATGTTGTCCATATGCGGAGCATTCATTACAATGGGATAAACAAATGTGAAATGCTCTCTCGGAAGTTCATAAAGTATTGGCGAATGCCTTTTGACATTTGTTCTATTCGTTATAACCAAATTTCGTGGTCAGACCAAAAACTTATGTCAATGTTTTTTTTTTGTGAAATCGTACACCTTTCATGCACACTTTTACTACAAAATATCAAGTGTGATTAAGAGAACGATAGCTTGGTCTACCTCTTGGTATATTCAATGACGTGCTAGTCTCACCTAATACAAATCTATGTATATACTAATATGCGCTTGATGTGGGCACTAAGTGATAGTTTCAAATTATAAATTCTTAAGAAGACATACTCTGCCGTTTAAAAGAAAGTTCAACGTTAAAGATAAAATTGTCCCGTTGAGTTGATATTTGGGGCAAGCCACTTCCAACAAAAGATGAAGATGTTACGTCCTTTAACTACATTGAACGGAAATTAACATCAGCAGCAAAATCTTTTCCCATATAAGACCAAGAGGTAAATTTAAAAAATATTGATTAACTTGCTTGAAAGAAATTTATTCAACCTTCGGCCTATCCTTCGCCACCGGGACCTTCCTGAAAACTTTCGAGTAAATAATGCTATTAACAGGGCTAATGATCAAAAAGGCGTTCGCAAAATTTGTTGGGCACTTCAACAGAAATAAAGCGACTGGTATATATATGGTATATATACCATATATATACCAGTCGGTATATATATGCATATAACGATATATTCATTTTGGTTAAAGTGTCATGCCATTATGTTACTTATTGAAGTGAGCCAATTTGGCAGCTGACAGTGATTACTTTGTCTAAAACCTTCAAATCTACCGCGTTTTTGGCCCTACTTATAAAGCGCTTTTAGACTCAGAATTTTTGTACGAAAAAAGTATAGAAGTGTTTTCTAATGGACTGTAAAGAACTGGGTTGTTTGTATGAACCGAAGGTGAATGGTGATGTATATATATTCCAGCGTATGTTACGCGTATGTATTATATATTATTTTTTGCGTTGATGAATCTGTTCTTGGAGAGACCGAAGACAATTTGCTATCTTCTAGCAACGAGATCAAATACAGTTGACCTCGAAATTATTTCTAAACCAGAGGTCGAAGAGAGTCTGCTTTTACCTTCACACGATGAGGAAAGCGGCCTGGCAAAAAACAGGGAACTGAGTGAAATTACTGCAGTATTCGAGATAGTTAACTGGTCATTGTGTTAAGAAGCTTACTGCTCTAAGCTTTCCATTTTCCGATGTACTTCACATGTTACCCACTTTAAATATCGACCCAATTAATGCAGATAACTGCATCTCCCGTAATCCATGGTAGCTTTCGCTCACCGTCATTATGAAGGCTTATAAGCAAGGTTTAAACCATTTGTGGTTTCTACTCCGCTACAGTTGTTTACGATTTTGCTTAAGAAAAGGTGTTTTATCTTTAATTAAACCGTCTTTCTAAATGATGCTACACTAGAAACTCGGGTTGAACCGACAATGCTTAACTACTTATTACGTCTGCTAGGATTGAAAAATGACAATTTATGCCAACCATTCATAAATGGCAGGTTCAACCATACCAGTCATACATTGCGTTGTAGTTCAAAGTAATAGTATTGATGATTATGATAGAATTTTGAATTGAATGAATGTTTGATGGATGAAAGAATGAATATTTGACTGTTACAAGTTAACTCATCATGAACAAAAAAAATCTGCGATGAATAGCAATTTCCTTATGTATTTTTTATTCAAATCGTTTTTTAAATGTATTATTTGTGTGTAACTAATATCTACATGTCATAGTGCAAAAGATAATCGGCGTAACGTTCAAAGCATTGATAGCGTGTTGCCAAAGCCCAAGCAGATAACGCTGTTGAACTCAATTTTATAAAATTATTCATTAAACACAACGACAACATTATTATACCCTTAACTCGCTGGGTGTCGACATCAGCGACGAAGCGTGAATTCAATCGGTAAAGAATTCAATTTACTCTAGTGTTGTGACCGATTTTTTGTTTTATGAAAAAATGAATAGTGATGCAAACGTAAGAGCACGTCATATTTCACCGGCAAAGAATGGACCGTTGTTATAGTCGGCAAAGGAAGTTTCTGTTGATTGTAGGTCAGCTATATCACAAAAAAAACTTGATATCAATAAGAGTGCATACTACTACTGTATGCAGAACTATCGGTACATTTTCTGCTGTTTGCCTAATAGTAATCATCGCTATTTTACTGCTTTTATTGAGACGTTTGCTCCACTACCGCTCAGTTCCGCTCTAGCAGCAAAGGCAATGACTCGATTCGATTGGTTTAGCAAACGTCTTTCGTCAGATTAGTACAAAGGCGTTTGTCTGTTGCTGGCAACATGTCAAAGCTGACGTCATTGTCTGAATGATTTTTCCATATAATAATAGCACGGGTACTGTGCTATACAGTTCGTATACAACAGCCATGTTAGTAATTTTATAATAATCGATACTGAATAAGAAAAGCTTATAGCCATGTGCTTTATATATAATAAAGAGAACATTTGTGAGTTCAAGGGTGTAAGCTGAGGCCTTTTTTCAACCACCAAAACTTTGTTATGTAACCTCAGTGCGCTTCCTTATTCAGTCACCCTAAATATGTCTCACTGAATTTTAATTAAAGAAGCCTTTGCTGTTTGATTGTTTGTCGTTAAAGAAGTTGGTTTCAAAAAAATACAATCTGGTTCAAGGTCAAATGACAGATAGATTCAGTTTTCTCATTATCTGTTGATAAATTTCCAATAGTTTTGTTTCAGTTATATTTGGATTCTTTCCCCGGTTTCAGATAATATGGATGAAAAGGAAAAAACTGGAGGGGGACGAACTCGTCAGCTATCGGAAGGTTCTGATGGGAGTGAACTTAAACGGACACGTTCAAGTGACGAACCTATTGATTCTAGTAGTGGACCATATGGGCGTCCTGAGTCACCGTTACCATCCACTGCCGACGTCGCCGCTTCGCCACCCAGGTAAGAACGACAACAACAGTCATTTATCCTATATATAACGTCTATTGGCGGAAATACACTACCTTTTCGATTCTCTAGAGTTCTGAAATATTGGATTTATCCTTTTTTCAAAAGTTATAAAATCGTACTTATTAATCTCTCAGCATAAGCATTATTTTTGTTAACAGTTTCGGTAACAGTGAAGCCAAACGGTTGTCTTAGGCAGAGTATTACTTACTACGCTGTTCAAAAAGTTTTACAACTTTGAAATTCCCGGGAGAATTTTTGAGGACGACAGTTAAAAAAAAACCGAGAATAACAATTTTTGAGAAAATTGCCCCGATATTTTGTTGCTACAGTCAAGTCTCGGTGACTGATCCTAGGGGTACGGAATGTTGTATTTCATAATCATTTTTTTCTATGGGGTGCATAACTATCATCCAATCGTAAACAAAGTCAATTTATATTGCTTTTGGTGATTTACATTTGCATATTTACAGATTTGTCAACATGGACAAGCTCGTGGAGACAGTGCGCCAAGAAGCCGAGAGAATGCGGCTTGCACACGAGATTGCTGTCAATGCAGATTTTAAATTAGAGCAGGTATTAAAAAAACGGCTTTATTGCAAATATTGCTTCATGGCTTTGAGAAACAGTTGCGAAACTACTAGAACCCAAATCCTTCGTGCGTCAGTCCAGTTATTGATATCAATTTCTCGTTATCAGTGCAAACAATCATAAAACCAATTGTCAATCGATAAAATAAAATAAATAGTCTCGTTTATCTCTGCGGGACTCTTTATCAGGCTTTAATTTTAGTTACATGCTTCGAGCTTAGCCTGTGAGTTCAAATCACTACTTCGTGTTTCACAGTGCACACATGTGTTTATTAGGCGACACTATGTTTGCCTGTTTTGCAACCAACTTGTGCATTGTTAGGGAAGCGGGAAGTTGAAAAACGGGACCAGCAGGTCCAGTCTGGTAGTTGAGGCAAGCAAACTTGACACCGGGCTTAGATGAGAAGCTTGAATAGAGGCAGCGGAAGACAGGGGAAGAAGACTATGCACTTGAAAAAACAACTGGGCAGAGCTGCCCGTAGCCAAATCGACTCATGAGAATCTTTTGGTTATAATAATTGGAACGCTTTACATATAGCGATGTACCATCTACTGGCTACTGAGGATTCATGACAATGGAAGTCGATCTTGTGATAAATATATATATACTATTATTAATCAGTATATAGGGAGACATAGAGGTAAACCCTAAAGAACAGTGTTGTATGTCATTTCAATCTATTTCAGCGTAAGGATTTGCCTGGGGGAACTAACAGTGCCTATGCTGCTATTCACCAAAATATGCTAAAAGCCTACTGGGACATTATCCAAGAAGATATTTGCAAGGATCCACCAGTTCTCGATATGGTACTCAAGCTTTGTGCGGATATCAGGTAGTTAAGTGTTATATTATAACATTCATCGAATATCTATTTTATAATTATAATATAAAATTATTTTTTAGTCAAAAAGGGGGCCGCCCACACAAAGTATAGTTGGTGCATGTGCCTTTATTCACAGAAGAAGCTTTTGCGTCTGTAATAAGCCGCTGATACTTGAAAATGCTAAAGGCTAATAGTTCGAACCAATCTGGATGATTCTTTTCATCATGATCAAAAAAAGGGTGCTTTGAATAATTGAAACATTACAACTATTCTAGGCAAATGCTGCTAGAACTGCTACTACCTCATCAAAACGCGATGCGTGGTAAAATCGAGGATTTATTTGATATCGATCTAGTGAAGCAGCGTTGCGAACAAGCAAAAAGTATTGAGCCTCTTCGCGAGCATGGTCCAGCGGTGCTCGACGCTATGCAACAATTGTGTTGTCCTATGCGTGATGAAGAAATTCAAGCATTGCGACAAATCGACGACACGATACAACTCTTTCAGGGCATCATTCGCGTATTAGAAGAGATGAAACTCGACTTTGCCAACTTCCTTATCAAACAAATAAGACCATTAGTTAAAGAGACGATCCAGGATTATGAGAAAGAGAAAATGAGAGAGATCGAAGGTGCACAGAAGGTGTTGGGTGTAGAGGATCCCCTTGTTAACACTAAGGCGTGGCTACAGCGAGCGTTTAACGACCTGTATTCTGTAAATCATCAAAAACCATCAGGTAAATATAAAAAAAATATCAAAGCAAGGATGATATGTTAGACATTAATAAAAAGTTTCCGGATCACCGTCTCCATAAACTTGACTCAATGCAATGACATGACAACGTAAGTTTCTACCAATTAATCTAACAGATCCTTTTTAAAAATCCAGGCGGCGCCACTCTGCTGCAAGGCTACATGCAGCTAGTATTCCAGAATCAGTATCTGAATGAGGAGTGGGAACTTCCTGAATCGCTCTTATTAGATCGAGATCGGATTTTGAAGCTTCAACAGGCGTATATCATTGTTACGATTGCTTCGGCGGTCATCATTATAACACAAAGCTATGTACCATCAGCGTTAGTTGCATCGGCAGAATTTAAACGCCGCCTTAAAGAGGCCTGCATCGCCGTTTTAAAGGACGTACAGTGCACTTGTGAGTCGGATGTTCGCGACGCTTTGCAGGATCTTGCCAATAAAATTGTCCAAGATGTTCAGCGTGAAACGAATGGCTTAGCACTGGCAGATGGACGTGAGGCGCTCGTCCATGGTCAATTGACAGAGTTGGCTAATGTCGACCATCCTGTACGTAATGTTGTATATGGTAGAGTGGTAGCTTTTGTGACGGCAATGGTTAAGGCAGGAGGCGGGAAAGACGTCAAGGTTCCTCCGGGTCTATCCGCTCTCGAAACTGAACTAACCAAGCTAGCAGCGGACTTTATTCAAATAATTTCCTTAAATCGAGCCACTCATGCAGAAAAATACAACGCGATTTTAACTGATATCTATGATGCAAAGATTGTAAACTAGCACTTACTGAATGTACAGCAACTAACTAATAGGTTAATTTATGCTCAATATTTTATACGGTTGATCGCGTTCAAACAAATTTGAAGACTGTATGAAGAAAAAAGTAAAATTAATCGATAAGTTGCTATTGAGATATTGTTATTTTTATAGATATTATTTCATTGTAGCGATTCTTTAAGCCACGTTGGCGCGTGATTTGTTGTTGTAGTGCCGTGCGGCAGATCATCTGTTCAATATAAGCCCGGCTTCTATATTTAAATATTTTTATAATAGTATCAACAGAAGGATTTAGTATATCAATGGTCACGTGTAACGCCATTTTGCGATTCATTGCTATTGCAATAAACTTTATTTATTATTAAAACATTTCTGGTGTTCACACTGGACAATATAAGGAATGATACAATTTGGTGAAGTATTGGTGGTCGACATAAATCCTTTAAAATATATTGTTTAAAAAATTAATTACGCTTGTATCCTTAATATATATTATTGCAAGTTTACCGTGGATTAGGCGCTTTTTCTTATTAAGACTATTTGTGTGATGAAAACAAATTTATAAAAATTAATCGTTCAAGTATATTTTGTAATTAAGGTAAAAGGGCGCACTACAGCTTAGGTTAGCACTAGTAGATTAAGTGAAAAGTTTTCCAGAGTTAAAAACAGAGTGGCAGTAGTAGACTTAGTGGCTAAGAGCAGAGAGTGAAAAAAAAAATAAATAAAAAAATAATAACAAAGAGCAACAAATATTTCCGTATTGAGAAATCACATATTGCGAAAATGCACACATCTGATCCTTTATTCGATAGGCAGTTGTTGTGCAACCTTTGCGCATATTGTCACTACCTTGATTATGTTTGGATGTTTGGTCTTCTACTCTGTTTTATTTGGGTGTTGCGGCCTATTTGCGACAAATATGAATTTCTCTATAGTATTAATTTTTGATCTTCTACCTTTCGTAACTAACATACGACACGTTAATTCTCAATAAAGAATGTATAACCAATAAGCGCTATTACTTTATATTTGGCCGCTTATTTATTCATTTACTTTATTTGTCTTATAGTTTCCTTAAACAGTGCATTATTCCTTCGCTATTTACGCTGAAAGTTGAATTTTTCGGAAACAGTTTGCGGAAACAGGTACGTTCAATGGATTAGAATCACGATCTTGTTTTCAGTTCCCTGGATAATTTGGTTGAATTCAATAATCATCAAGAAATCCTTAGCTATGATTAAATTACTATGTAATGATGATTGATAAATTCCCATTGGTGTATAGGCCCGGAAAAATTATTGCCTTCCGACAATGTCTACAAGCTTCTGTTTTTCGCTCCAGCATTATTCCTCACGAAGTACAAATATTAAATGTTGAAAGAATTGTAACTCGAGAATAAATACACCATTTATTATTAGATCGCGTTCGAATCACTCGGACGTTTCGCCGCTTTATTTATTGTCAAAAGAGAGACTAGAGGCATAATGTTATTATGCTGCTATATATATATTTAGCCATAATATTGTCCATGTTATTATTGTTTAATATATGTTGTACTCGTATGTACGATGTGTTATTTAACCTTTCATGTTAATTTGTCTGTTTTGTTTCGTAGGTTTCGTGGTTTATTGTTCCTCATGTTTCCCTTTCCGCATAGTATTCATATCAATTAGCTTTAGTATATAAATTACTGCTAAATAGTAATGGCGTTGCCCCTATTGATAGAGACAAATGATACGCAAAGGATAATGTTGTTTTGTTTTATTTACAAGTATCGTATCTTCACTGTCCATATACTTGTCAAATATTGACTGTTCGTGGGCTGGGAGGGGTCGCAAATGTTGAGGCATCTTTACCAGACAACGCCGCTGCTTTATGGACTGGAGGACACAAACGACCTCAAGCCGCTGCGTAATGCCGCCTGACGCCACTCCTTTATGTATTCATGCTAATCCTGTACTTACTCTGCCACTCCGTGGCAGTGTTTGTGACTCTCGAAAGCAGCCGACCCCACTTGTATCAATTGAAGGGAGCTACACAGTACTACGGCGTGTACCAAACTATAGAATAGATCAAACGGCAAAATTGTTTACAATTAACCTACCAATTGCATAGATAGTTTAAATACTTAACAAAATTACAAATTCAAATGAAACTTAAAGTATCTGTTCTTTTCGGGTAAGGCAACATAATAAAATTATTAGGCATTCACCAAATTGATACTATATTGTGTATATATCGATTATAGTATAAAAGGTAGATATAATAGACAGATTTGTTAACAAAATGTCTCGACTGTCCTTGGCAATGTCTGAATTCATGGGAACCCTTCTTGTTTATACATCTGAATATCTAAGAAACCATGAAGCGTAAAATCGGTTCATGAACAAGCTCCAGTTTGGCTGTGTTCATTCAAACACTGCTTTGTTTTTAGTGGAGCCGACAACTGAGTGTATGCCACTGCACGGCAGTAATTCATTTTAAGTTCCTACAGAGTATACGGATCCTTCCTAAGTTGAAAAAGCATTACTCCTTATGCATTAGCGTAGGGCTCCCCGTTCCGCTTGATATTATAAAGAACCAGCACAAACTGGACGATAGGCCACTACTAACAGGTGAACAGAGGTGAAAGCTACTTAGGAGCCGCGTATTTCATTTAGTATAGTTCTGCTTTTCAAATTATTATATCGCAAATATTTTCACAGGAACCGTTAGTAATATAGAATATTCTAATTATATTTGAACGACGCGCTAAAGGTTCTATTGTACCGCAGTTATACAGTCCGCCTTGTATATATATATATCGCGTTGCACTTTGAGTAGACTGAAGTCGGGATGCCACGCGAATCATTTTGTCAGTAAGGTTGACTTTAAGCCATTTCTCCTCTTCTATTCACCACGAAACTCAGTAAATAGCCTTTCTAGAGAGACGATTAGCGTCAGTTAGTTTACCTGCGCATATGAAAGGATTATTCTAAGAATGAAACATCTTGCTTTGTCAGTATCGGCTACCAACTATTGAATGAGCTAACACTTTATCAAAAAAGTTAATATGTTGTAGCGTTCTGCGCACGTTTTTCAATTAAACTTATTCTTTTCTACTTTTCCAATCGCAGGTGTTAGTTTTCAGTGTTAATTTCACCATCCGTTCATGCATGACGCAGTGAGTCGCAACAAGATGCCATATGTCGTTTTTTTACATTTACCGTAATACTATATGGATTACGCAATTCTATGATAACGCCAGCGACGCGTAGAAGTAATTTTCATCGGACTGGTGAAACAGATGAATTGTACCCTTTTAAAAATTGAAAATAAGATTGTAGCAATACATTCTACCTATTACTACCACTAATTTTCATATTGGCTTTATCACCATGAAGCGGCCTAGTATTAATCGATTTATTTATCGATTTCATACCTCGGTTTTTCTTTTTTATACACTAATGTGAAATAGGTACGGTCGTCTATCAAGATAAGATGAGGGACGCACTTTTCTGGCACTATTATTGGGGAAGTAGTTGTTTTCATAATAATCATTATATATTTCTTGGTCACAAAAGTCATTCGTTCATCGCTTTTTTACTTATGTTCTATGCATATCCTTCAACTCTTGTATTAATTATTATTCCTATTATTACATTACTTATTTGACACGGATTGGCATATCGTTTCCCGTTCTTCGGGCCCTGTCTTAAAGGCTTCTTGTGATGGCGGTGATGATGGCGATTCAGACAACTGAAATCATCGGCCGACCATCCTAAATCTGAGGCAGTTCACTACCCCAGTGGCTTCTTCTTGTCGCACCCGCTGCTGGTGCTTTTGAATGGACAAATAGAATCGAGTTGAACACAATTTCCTATGACTTCTACAAGTCGTCATTATCGTTTTTTCCAGCGCTATACTATCATAGCACGTCATATTAGCACATCATCTGTCACTCGTTCGATCTATTTCTTGCCGTCTCTTTTTCTCACATTCTGTTGTTGTATTTTATAGTTATATCTATATTCAGTTACGTTATTTCTGTAAAAACATTAATAATCATGTGATGATGATAATAATAATATAAATAATGGGACAGCTCTACCTTTCTATGTAAAAAAGGTAGTACGAAAACTAAGAAAATATAAATAGAAATTTGACTAATTGATAACTACATCAAAATCTCTTCGTATATCTTTGTGACGCCGGGTTGCAAACAAAATACACGTTCGTCCCTTTTCTCACGTCCTCGTCGTATTAAAGCGTTATCTAAAGAGCTTTTACTTTCGGTATCCAGAGAGCACTTTGGCATTCAATGGCTTCACCTTGGCCATAGCTTGTCTCTCAGTGTACAAATGTCCACTATTTTCACTACACAAAATAAAGATTTAAAGCGGATGTTCTTTATGTGGCTCAAGCCAAGTGATATATACTTTAGTGAACAAACTGTTTTTAGTAGAGCGTACCACATATAAAAGACTCTTCCAGTGAGGGTTATGGCTATGGGTGAATTCATATGAAAAGAACTTCGTCAAATACTTTTAAGATAAACCGTTCGATTGATACTACAATGAATTATCTTACGGTAAAATTTTGTAAAAATAAATCGGTACAAGAAGATCCACAGTAATTTACGACGGGATTATACAAAAGAAACTCTGTCTATTTCCGGATGAGTACCACAAAAACGGTTTCCACCTTAAGAATGTCAATGGATCCTATTTATAAATAAACTCTGTTATAGAGATAGAAAAAATCAGCGGTCTGGTCTTTAACATTTCTTGGGATGGCAAAACGCTTTTTATGTTTTGCCAGATAATCTTCAGATTGTATGGCGTGCATATTTAATATACTTCATATATATTTGTAAGTCTTTTCTATAGGTTTGATGATATGCAGATTTTTTATATCCCTATCTGATCTTTACCACATCTTGATAACTTTCTATGAATATCAATATATGAATAACGGAATTGGTGTTAAAGCATTTTTTTTGGGGTAATATTTGCTGCATGTAATGTGAAACTGCTGTTTTTTGAATAAAGCTTATTTTTGTCTAAGCACCACTTTAAGAAATAACAATAGTAGTTACTGTTATCCCGTTTAAGCTTTTTCCTTGAGTTAGAATGTTCCATATCGTTAA